AATGCAAAGCATCTAATAGTAGGTTTTAAATAATATTTACATACATAGACATTTATTTATTTTATAATAAATGAGCCAATTGTATTTCATTAAATTTGTTCTTTAATTTCAGATTTAATTTAAACATAGAAAACAAACACCACTTTCTAGAAACATCTGGATAATAGAAGGAATATAGAAAATTAACATCACATGAATCTAGCAATTGTTATAAAAATTTGGATTATGTGTTTACAATTATGTAATTAGGTCTATTACAGCTTATACAAATTAAATGAGAGATGTATGCAAGTGAAATAAATTGAAATAAACTTGATTCCTCGATTATGTTTGTTATTCATTTTAGTTGTACCTCTTCTCTGTAACGATATACATATACATTTGTTTCATATTTTAATAATTTTAAATAAACAGAAGAAATGATTTATAATGTATAATTATATGAAAAAATACTTTTTCTTTTGATTCTTAAAATTACATATATCTATGTAGATTTAAAACAAAACCATCATCTCAACCATGGACAAATAACAATCAATCCTCTACTTTTCAAACTGCTGCTAGTACAACAGCTGGAGTTGCCATTGGGTCTGTTATAGTAAATGTTACATATTAATGTTATTGCTTGTTTATTTTGTCTTTTGAAATTAATCATCATTTCAAATTAGGGCCAAGCAATTGGAAGCATACTTGCTGGCAATGTAGGATATGTATCTTCTGCCAATACAGACCCTAAAAGTAATTCTACAAATACGCAAGAATTATGTATTCCCGAAATACGAAAATTCTTTGAGTGCGTTTCGAGAAATGCAGATCTGGATACATGCAAAACTTATCATGATATGTGGATGAAATGTCAAAATGTATACAAACAACAAAATTAATCGGTCAAATGAAATGGTATTTCTAAAAGAATGAAGTAAGAAGCTCTAATCTTCGTTATGATATAATCAAGGATATATAAGAAATTGATGATTTAAGAACATTATTTATTAACTTAACGCGTTTGTTAAAGATGATTTTATACTCGACCAAAAGAGGCAGTTAAATGTGCAAGAAAAGAAATATGGTAGACTATCTTTTTTCTGTATTTAAGACGCGCATCACCACAAAACCTGCAACAGTAGCAACTGCAATTCCAAGACCAGCTTTCCACCAGACGATTGAATCTCCTTGTAATAATCCAAATTGATTTATATGTCTGTAAAATAAAACATTATTTATCTCAAGAATCACGTAAATTTATATATTTTCTAGTATGAAAAAAAATTCATATATATAGATTATTTCACAATATAAAAAATTATATATATATATATTTATATATATATTATATATATATAAAACATACACATTATCCTATGATAAAATAACTAACTTTTTATATTTAAATTCTGTTGTGTTTAGTAATTTAACACAGACATAATTGAAATAGATAAATTTGAGTTTGCAAATATGTGTATAGTATAGAAAATTAAAACAATAAATAAAAATTAATCATGTCTCATGCTCATGCAAAAGAATAATATTGATATCATTTTGTATTGTAAGTCGTGAGCACTCCGTGAAATTAACAGAAACTTATAATACAAACAAAAACCTTGTAAAAGAACTCCACCACTGAGTGGGTGAGGGTTTGACAAGCAACATGTGGACCATTCGCCTCAAAGGACTGAAAAGATTTAAGACCTTGTTATGATAGTCTTAATCATGCGACATCCTTTAATGTGAGCAAATCGCCTAGCACATTTGGCAAATATATAGTTGTGTATACGTGCACTAACATATGAATAAAAAAAAATGTGATTCACGATTTGCTCAAGCTTACAATGCTTACGGTGTTGCAAAAATTCAGACCAACCTGTCTCTGTAAAATAATACCCATGCTCCTTGAAAGCGGCTAAACATGAAATCTTTTTGTTAGTGTTTAATAATAATTCAGTTCAAAAATTATAAATGATCTTAAATGAAAGATATTTGACAATATCAAACAAATGCGTCATAATTTTATTTATAATAATTTCAAATAAATGACACATTTTAAAATGACAATTTTTTGGGAGCATTTTTTATATAAAATACCTCTTAATAATCTACTTTTAAGGAATTGAACTTACGGGAAGGCTGCCATTGTTGCTAATTTAACAAAGATTTCACGTCGTATTGTACGGGAGATGCTATAAGGTTGTGGTGGCATCAATTTGTACTTATTGCAAAAACTTATTGGTTGTAATAAATAATCTTGCTTTACTTCAGAAAGATCACTCTTATTTGCTATTATGAGAACAGGGATCTTACTATCTGCAAAATATTTCTGAAAAAGACGGTCAATTTAATTGCAAAATATCACGAAAAATAATAGTTGTTGTAATGTCTTTATACAAAATTACGAAAGGATTACTTACAATATAAATCCGTGCAATATATTCAAATGATTTAGGATTACTAGCATCGTAAACGAGAGCTGCCACATCACATTGAATTTGTGCTGGCGTTAAAGCATCTTGAACATTAAGTATGTTTATATCTCGCAGAATTATTGTCTTTTCCTGACCATATACATGTATCGTGTTTACAGCAATATGTGAACTTGGCGGGACTATTTCATCGGTTAATTTCTGCAATCATGTCACGTGTTAGGTATCAATAAATATACATTGTGATATATACGTATATGAATATGTGTATACGAACAAGCACGTATACCTCGAGTTTAGGGTCAATAAACGTTCTACATAATGTTGTCTTTCCACTACTTTTCGGGCCAATTACATGGCAACTATACACATTTCTACTAGACTGTTTTTTTGCCAGATCTAACTTTTTTTCACGAGTAACTAGAATCGCATTTGTCTGACATTCATTATTATACATGTTGTAACCTAAATATGCCATATACTCTAATGTTTTTCGCACGTTTGTGAGAGTCAACAGCGCCCATTGACACATATATCCTTGAAGTGTGATCCATCCCTATTGCAAAAGACAATAGCAGAAGCAAATAAAATATCTTATAAAATAATAATGATGAATGAATGAAAAAAAGAAAACATACTTTTTCATTAGTTGGTACAGTGTACTTATATTCATCTCCCCAAGGTGGTATTAAACATCTTGAAAATAATGATTCCATTTCTGATGGAGAAAGAGCACCGTCTCGATCTCGATCATGTTGCATAAACAATAATGTTAAAAATTCCTGTCCTTTATGTGATAATTCAGTCGTACATCCAACAGGAACCTTTAATCTGTATAACATATCAAAAGTAAATATAATAATAAGCATTTGAAATCATGCAATGAAAGTAAAATAAGCATCTTTGATTAATTATATACTAACGGTGGATATATATATTCTTTGGACATTTGTAACTCATTGTCATAACCAAATTTTCTCAACACTGCCCAAGTAGTCTCATTTCTTCCCCTTTGTATAAATAAACACTGAAGGTACATAAAACCTATAAAATAATAACAAAGATTTAATAAAATAAAAGTTAATTTTTAAAAGATAAAATGTATAAAATACCTTTCATAGTAACACATCCACAACAAATGCCATCTTGAATATTTTTTGATAATACAGCCTTCACATCCTCCAATACTTGTGGTTGTAATGGGGTATTAAAGCACCATTGTTGAAATGCATTTAATTCAGTGTCATCTAGCAAGCCATCATTGTCTAAATCACATATCTATATAAAACAATATAATATAAATATAAAACATATATATATAAAAAGAATATATTTTTCTAAGAATACAATCACTTATACTTACTTTGAAAATTCTTTGTAATGCAATCTTACATTCTTCTGTAAGCTAAATATTATATTACATTAATAAATATTATATTACATTAATAAATCGTAAATGTTAGATTACATATACTATATAATAAACGTTACCTCCTGAGTGTCATAATTGTAGAGTGGTGTAGTAGGATGTAAAACAGCTTTTTGTGCATAGTAAAATGTTTCTGAAACATTTTGTAATGTTTTGGCAGAGCACTAGAACAAATACAATATGGATTAAAACTTTTTTCATTATGACTTATTCAATATTTACTGCTAACATCACTTACCTCTATACAACTCTCTATTTCAGTGAATTCTTTCATTATTGGATATACAGCCTAAAGATAAAGAAATCAAATTAACAGAAGATGTTTTTAATGTTTAATGTTTTAAATTTAATTTGTCAAACCTCAATAGTAGAGTAGTCAACAAGATCAATCTTATTTCCAACAAGAACAACTGGACAACGATTGTTTGACGAACATCGTCGAATTAGTGGTAACCAATATGTAGCTGCTCTGTCCAAAGTGTCCTCGTCGACCACCGAATATACAACACAAATTACATGTGCTTTCTGAATTTCATCAGTTAACTGATCTTCAGTTTGTTCAGCGGCTGTAAAAACAGAAGTTGCAAATGAAGCATTATTGATGCAGTTATCAACTAATATAAAAATGATTTTTATAAAAACAATGTACAAACATTTTTGACGAGTACCTGAGTAATCTACAATGTGCGTTGGTACTTGTTCCGGGGTAACATCAGCCGGAATAGTGATTTCTTCCGCTTTGCAGGGTACATCCTCTGCGTATTCCTCACTGACTAACGATAAGATTAAAGAAGTCTTGCCGACTCCACGATCACCAATTAAAAGAATTCTGACATTGCGCCTAGGCGCGACTGAACGTTGCACCATACTGATTTCAATAAAACAATTGTCGCACGCAACAGCGGCATTCACCGCCTAAATTCTTAAGAACATTTTTCTACTTTTTCAATGAAGCTTTTAGTATTCTTACCTAACCTACAATTTATATCTTATTACAACCAGTAATCAAACGTCACTTTCTGATAGCTTCCCGATCTTTTACGAAGACATTTTATCGGAAATTACGATCGACGATTGGAAGTTGCAATATGATCTCTTAATCCAGCAGAGATAACAAGAATTATGCGCTTCACCCGCTGCGATTGAACCTATGCACCGAGGGTGGTCTTTTCAAGGTTACGTTCAGCACTTCGAATGACAGTATACACATATAAAACATGTACACGTGCGCACGTAAAAGCACAGAAGCGGCTAGAGAAAACGAAAGGACAACTCGATCGTAATTAACAACACGAGTAATTCTTCCATCTTCGATAAATCGTTACAAGAAACAAGCTAAACATGAAATGAGTCTATTTGTGGAATGAATTTCATGGATCCGTAGCGCCTACATTTAAATTGTATACTGTACTTGTTATACGTGAACTTCGTAAAAATCGATAGCGCTAAAATATTTTGGTGTTTGAAATTAATCTTTAAGGAATTTTTGAACGTTGAACACAAATTTACGTCCGTTTTTTCTCAGGTGACTGTATACGCAAAGGTTTTCAGTCTTATAATAATGTGTGTCTGTATCTATGTTTTCAGTCTTATAATAATAAAAAAAGCTTGGTATAAATCTGAATGATACTGAAACTCTAATGTTATACATAATAATTTTTTTTAAACATTGAACATATATTTATGCTGTTTTTTCCTATTTACGTTTTTAGACCTACAATAATAAAAAATTCAATCCTATACGATATAAAATACTGAAATTGTAATATTGATAATAATTTCGATAATTTTTATGTATAATGTAGAATTGCTTTATAAACGTGAAAGAAATAAGAGGACGCATTTTTAAAATTTGTAAAGAAAATAGGTAAAATATTTTATGTTACAGTATATTCTTTCTTAATTGAAGTTTTAAATTTTATTAGAAATAATATTTTAGAAAATTATTAATCAATTAGAAGTAAATCAATGAAAAAAAGTGAAATGATATTGCAAAATAAAAGAATAAGTTGCGATTGCTACTATCTAAAACGAAAATGTTTTTTTCATATTATCACAAGATTTCTTTCTTCATATTTATAATGCTACATACGTTATCATATAGACAAAGAAGAAAAATGTTATTTGCACAAAAATATTTTAAATGGTACGATCCAAAATAATATAATTCTATTTAAAATAATATGGAATTTAATCAATATTCAAATGAAATGAATAAAAGTGAAAGGTTGAAAATGTAATTTATATATACACATTTGAATAAATCTTTTATAATAAATCTATTAAATTTTATATGTTATATTTATTAATGTAAATTTTATTCATTAATCTCAGTTAGCCTGTTTTGTCTACTGTGTTGAAAAACTGCGTGTTAGTATAATTTTGCGTAGTTTTTTTTGTACCCCCCAGGAATATAAAAATATAGTTGAATCATTTAAGAGGTAAACAGAGCGATAACCTTTGCGTATAGAGTCACCTGAGAGTTCAAGACATTATCTTACTGTAATCCCGCGCGTAAAGATAATGATGACCCTCAACATTTTGTGCTCTGCTTGCAACTATTTTAAAAATGTTGAATCGATAATTTTTTTATTATTTATAAAATAATATTATGAATAAAATTTTATTATCTGAAATAAATATTTCATGTTGAAACATTGTCTATTTTTATTTTTAAATAATATTATTATCATGTTTAATTTTTACCAGTATGAAATAATAAATTTATTCAAAAGTATATATCAAATATTTCAAGAGAAATGCATTTTATATAAATATATACGAATGCAAGAATAAATAAAATGCGAATATAATAAAATCTATTAAAAATAAATTATAAATGAGGCTTATTTTATTTTGGTTCACTTTACTAGCTAATATGACATTGTAAATTAATACTCTAACTGCAAATTTCAATTATAAAACAGCTTTTACATTTATGGGATTACGCAAAAATTGTTATAAAAATTGTTATAATTAATCAGTGCTCTGAATTTAATTATTTTCATTTGGATATTATTTGGATGAACTTAAATGCAACTTTGTTAAATAGTAATATCTTAATGGAATAGACAACAATAGTTCTCAAATTCTGTATTTCATAAATGGCCACGGATAAAGATCCCCAATTAATAATAGAAAAATGATGCAAAATCTACTCATAATGATACATATCATTTAACCTTCGATCGAATACGTCGAACACAATCCAAATAATTAAGGATATCGCGGGTAGACTCTGAAATCTTGAAGGAGGTGGATCGGTAGGTCACCGATAAACTCCTTCTTTGATAGAATTCGGGTATAAAAGACTGGTCGAACAGACAGTCAGCACCGCACTGCAGCTTAGAACAGCAATGAGGTTCTTAATTATCTTGTCGGCTCTGGTAGCCTTAGGGGTCTACGGCAGCGTCAGCCAACAACAAGCTGGTAAGTTATTATTTGAAATCGTTATTCTGAAATTTTTAATCTCAGCTAACAGTATAAAAATAATTTCTGACCATTTAATTTATCCAAAGTCTTCTTCTGAGATTTTAACTGACTTTATAACATTTTACAATTGGAATTTCGACTTTTAACAATTGAATTGTTCGACCTGCTTCATTGCATCGTATTCAATCAAAGACATGTAATGCGATATGAAGTTTATAACATAATATCGTTTTTTTAATACCAATGAAATACTTTCGTTCGTTTCAGCTAACCAGGATCTCCTTAACAAACAGCAAGATGTTATCCAACTTCTGCAGCAGATCTCACAGCCAATCCCGAACCAGGAACTTCAAAATCTTGGTGAAACCTATGACATTGAGAGCAACTCGCATCAGTACAACAACCCGATCATAGTCAAGTATTACGTGAGTGCTGTGAAAGCTGGTTTGGTTCAACCACAGGGCACAATCCACAGCCATGTAGTCAGCCAGCTTCGCAAAGAAGTTTCACTGCTCTACAGGATTTTGTTGGGTGCTAAGGACTATCTGACTTTCCTCAAGACTGCTGCGTGGGCTCGTCTTCACGTTAACGAAATACAATTTGTCAAGGTATGTGGATTCAAATTGGATTGAAAATGTTATATCTGATTTTGTGTATATACTCCGTTAAATCACTTTCCCTCTTACCTAACAGGCTTTGATAGGTGCGGTGTTGACTCGCCCAGACACTAGAGGAGTCATCCTTCCACCAATTTATGAAATCTTGCCCCAGTACCATTTGGATGCTAGAGTCATCCAAGAAGCCCAGAATATTGCCATTCAAAGACTCCAGCAAGGAAACAATCAGAACATTGTCATTCCTGTTAACCACTCCGCGCTCTTATCTCAAGAAGAACAACGAGTCTCTTACTTTACTCAGGATGTTGGTCTTGCTGCATTCTATGGCTATGTCAGCCTCGTTGGAGGCATCTTGTCAGAAGTAAATAGTTTAAATGTTTTTCGATATATTTAAGAAAGCACTATAAAATTAATGTAATTATCTGTCGCTAAACAGATTCAGCATCAACAACAGCAACAGCAACAACAGCCTCTAAATCAGCAGCAGTATCAACAACAGATTGTAGGAAGATATTTGCAACAAGGAGTACAAAACGACCAACAAAGCGCCAATGGTCTCGGAGCTCAATATCTGTTCCTTCACCAGCAACTCTTGGCTCTCTACGAGCTTAACCGTCTTTCGAACGGACTTGGCCCAGTCCCCGAAATTAACTTAGAAAATGTAAATGCTCTCTACCAGCCACATCTTCGTGGTCTCAATGGACTTCAATTGCCTGGCCGTCCAGAGATCCTTCAACTCCAACCTCACAAAAAGGAGCTCATCCAACATGTTACGTCTCTGTTACAAAGACTGAAGGATGCTATTGACTCTGGCAACGTGATCACCCCACAAGGCAATTTCCTTTCTCTGTACCAACCACATGGTAGGAATATTCTTGGTGACTTGATCCAAGGATCTGGCAGAAGCATCAATCCAAGGTACTACGGAAGCCTCGAAGTTGCTGCTCGCAAACTCCTTGGAAATGCTCCCGAGGTTCAGAACATTTGGGATTACACACCATCGGTTCTTGAAATTAAGCAAAGCAGTGTTTATGACCCAGCCTTCTACCAATTGTTCAAAAAAGTCATAAACCTTTACCAACGATACCAACAGTCTTTGCCTGTCTACCAACAGAGCGACCTTATTCTTCCTGGTGTTACTATTCAGAAAGTTGATGTTAGCCAATTGGTCACTCTCTTCAACGACTACCACATCGAGCTTGATTCCATTGTTCGTCAACAACAACAGCAGCACCAACAACAGCAGCAGCAACAGCAGCAGCAGCAGCAGCAGCAGCAACATCAGCAACAGCAACAGCAACAGCAACAACAACAGGGACAAATTAGGGCTTACCTCAAGAGATTGGATCATCAACCGTACCAATACAGAATCGTTGTTCAGAGCGAACAAAATGTACCAAGAGCAGTTGTCCGTATTTTCCTTGGACCCAAACACGATCACCATGGCAGACCCATTAGTATTTCTCAAAACCAACATCTGTTTGTTCAACTTGATCAGTTCATCCAGAATCGTAAGTTTCGATATTTCCTCTGACTATAGTTTATCTATGTATGGTCAATTTATGTTTGACATATCTTGTGTTTAGTCCAAGCTGGCCAAAACGTTATTATTAGGAACTCCCAGCAAGCTTCTGGACAGAGCGCTGACTTACCATCCACTTCTCAAATTGTACAAGGCGTCAATGCTGCTATCCGATCTCAGCATCCATTCTTCATTACTCAGGTTTGTAAATCATTGTCCGTTAAGTTTCCTGAAAGATTGACAATTTAAAGAAATTGTAGCTAATCGTAATTAATCATATTTTTACAGCCACACCATATCTACAGCTTCCCTGCTAGATTGTCTCTTCCCAGAGGTCTGCCACAGGGTCTTCCGCTTCAGCTCCTCGTTGTGATTTCTTCTTCAAACCCACTTAACATGCCACACGGACCAGTAGTCCCTGAACAAGAGCTGACTTATCAAGCCCATCAGTTCCAAATTGTAAACACTGAACAATACCAACAATTGAACCAACAAGGACAAGTTTCGCAACTGGGCGGCGGGTTACAACAAAACGTTGAGGTCCTTCCTGAAGGTTCACTCAATGCTCAACAACAAATTGAAGGTGCCCTACACAGTAATAGTAAGATCTCAGCAACCATTGTATAACATCACTAACCATATGCGTAATTTCTTCCTCATAGCCATCAGGCTCCAGAATGCTCATATTCATACCAAATACCACGGACACTCCAACATGCAACTCCAGAATCCTATTGGCCAAGGACAAAACATGGGGATCCAAGGAATTGGAGTTGTTAATGCTGGAGGTTCTTCTTCTGGTATCCAGTCCTGGGGATCAGGATTGTCTGGTATCTCAGTTCAGAACCAACAACAAATGCAACAACAAGCTCAACAAGTCCAACAACAGATACAGGCAGCAGTTCAACAAGGACAAAAGAACCTGAGTGGTCAAATCTGGAACGCACAACAGCAACATTCGCATGGACAACATGTTAACTGGTCTCCATCCAACAGTGCTCAATCTGTTAGCCAGTCTTCTCAACAAGGTTTGTCTGGTCTGACTGGTGCACAAGGTATGCAACAATCTCTCCAACATGTACAAGGTCTCGCTGGGCTCCAAGGTGTCCAAGGTGTTAACTGGTCTCCATCCAACAGTGCTCAATCTGTTAGCCAGTCTTCTCAACAAGGTTTGTCTGGTCTGATTGGTGCACAAGGTGTCCAAGGTGTACAAGGTGTTCAGCAAGGTGTCAAAGGTGTACAAGGTGTTCAGCAAGGTATCCAAGGTGTACAAGGTGTCCAAGGTGTACAAGGTGTACAAGGTGTTCAGCAAGGTGTCCAAGGTGTACAAGGTGTTCAGCAAGGTGTCCAAGGTGTACAAGGTGTACAAGGTGCTCAGCAAGGTGTCCAAGGTGTCCAAGGTGTACAAGGTGTTCAGCAAGGACTCCAGGGTATACAACAAGGAGGAATCCAAGGATTAGGACAAGGTATTCTGCAAGGAGGATTATTACAGTCACACCAACAAGGTGTACAAGGAGTTCAAAGCCAAGGTGGAGTGTCAGGAAGTAACATCGTTGCCAGCGGACAACAACACGCTGGTGGCTTCCAAGGAGTTTACGCAGAGTCGCACACTCTTCAGGACCCGTCTGTCATCGAGTACTACCAGAACAGACCAATCTCTGAAATCATCGGTGGTGCCATCTCCCTCGATGGTAAACCTCTCGGCTTCCCTCTGGAAAGACCATTATCTTCTGGTGCTCTCAGCGTTCCCAACATTTTCGTGAAAGACGTCCTCGTCTTCCACCATGGTCAACCCACAAACGACATCACCCAGCCATAAAAGTTCCTAAGGCGAAGCGCGCCGTGTTAGAAGTCGTATGAGAATGATTTATACGATTTATCAAGGATGTTGTTAATGTTAATAATTGAAGAAAAGATTTATTAATGTATCAGTTGTAATGAATAAATTGCTGTCAAGAGCAAATGTTTATTATAAAGTCTGGGCTTCTTCATCTACACGTTATTCACCTCGAATACAATCGTTTATTAAGTCAGATAAATAATAATCAATAGACAAAAAGTTTATATCATCGTTTTATTAAACAAATTTTTCTCTAGTAACAACAAAAAAATATCAAAACGATATTTTAAATGTATTGTCTTCGACGTCGCTCTGCCAGTTGCTTCAAATCAATAATTATTCCCCAGTCATCATCTCCATGAATTCTAAAAATATAAAAAATCATATGAAATCTTATTACACAAGAAGTCGCAACAACTCAATCGAAGGAATTCGCGGCTGAAGTTAAGAAAAGAAACCAAGTACGTACCATCGAAGTCAACTGTGCCCGATCCATCGGTATCAATTTCAGCGATTATACCATCTAAATCCGCACTAGTGAGTTTATCATCGAGAGCAGCAAGAATCTCCTTCAAAGTAGCCGTTGTGATGTATCCGTTTCCTTCACGATCGTATAAACGAAAGGCCTCTTTCAATTCCTCTTGCATCGCCTCGGCGTCTTCTTCCTCCAGGAATCGACCAGCGATTCTGCAGAACCCATCAAAATTCACCTTCCCGATACCTTCTGGATCGTTCTCCGCGATCAAAGCGTTCAAATCAGAGTCGTCGAACAGTTGGCCCATCGTGTTCAATATCGTTGAAATCTTCAGCGTGTCGATGAAACCGCTTTTCGTCGTATCAAACATTTGGAATGCCTTTCGCATTACAGCCATCTTTTGCTCGTCTTCCTCCTGCAAATTGACAATTCAAATTTGTATCACATCTTTTCATTAAAAAGAGAAATAAAAATTTTATATTCAATCTTCAGGAAATCTTCTTTTCTCGTTCATAATCTTTCATCTTCGACAACTCTTTTCGTTCACAATTATTTCTCGCGTGCTTCTTTTTATTCACTTTTGTACGATAAAATCACTACAAACAATGGGATGAAATTCGAACACAAAGTGAGAGATCGACGACAGCGAGGACGAACGTTTACGCGACTCTTACCATGGTGACGGATATCTTGCACGGCGGACGATGGACACCTGAGGTGCCGCGGCTTTTCCGTCCCGGTATAAAGACATCCACGAGCGTCTGGTAAACCAGCTAGAAAACTGGTAGGCGCAAAAATAGAGCGACGCGACGAAAAATGAAATATGTTATAAGTTGGTCCTCCGTGATGTCGGAAGGCCGACGCTAAATCACGCGAGATTGCAATTCGAATTACATGATCACCTGTACACATTGATTCTTAAATTATATCACCGGAACGCGGTGGTCGTTGGTGGTATTACTGGACTGCGGATTATTTTCATTCGTTACAACAATAATCACGTTTTCCCTCCCCGGGTGTATTTAAAGATTCTTGAATAACATAGAGATTACGTTTCGCATCGCGCAATTAAGAAGGAGGCGCAAAAAGAAATATAGAAGGATGAGAATACCGGTGTCACGTAAATATCGTGTTCATTCATAAAATCGTGTCAGAGAGTGAAAAAATTCCAACGAATTTATTTATTTCGGCAGACGTATTGAAATTTTATCCAATAGAGATTTCATTATCGGCGGTCATCGTTCAATATCATTAAACGGCCGAATAATTTTCGAGCAAATGATTATACACGATAACGAAATGGATTTACAATTTTCAGGCATGCCGCTGTTCTTAGATCTGGCTGCCCACGCATTGCAAACCATTACAACACTCCCTTCCACCTGGTTGCTCACACAACCAGCAAAAATATAACGAGTCCTCGGACTCTTTCAACACGATTCAACGACGATTCGCAGGTATCCCCGGAGAAAATAGGTCGGCGGCAAATTTTGTGCAAATGCAGATCGAATGTGGCTGTTCTGTGTTTATTATTCCAGATTCTTGTTTCCATAAGCATTGCAAAACTGTTTGTACTGTATTATAACGACAATGTATTACTTATTTCAATCTCTCTTAAAATTACAATTCTCTTCTCATAAATTATGAAACAGATGTTTTTAATCATGCTGATTTCAAAAATGTTTTTACAAACTTTGATATCGTATCAACGCTTCAGGCTCGTTTAATTTTCTAATCTATAGTGACCAAAATAAAATAAAGTTGATTCCTGAAGTCTTTACCTTAAAAATATGTATCATTAATTTATATTTTCTAACTTACATTAATTTATTTTTTATATACTTATATATACTTACATTTTCTTACAAATTTCTGCAGAAAAATCTTTTGATAATTATCTCAAACCGGCAATCATCGAGTTATGAACAATATTCTGAAATTGAGAATACCAAGAAGTGTGTTTGAGAAAAGTGTCTCTAGTCACTCTATCCTCGGGGGATAAAATCATAATTATAAATAGAGAGATAATTAAACAGATAATTAATGTATCGTGTGTGTACAATACAATATTTTTGATATGGAGGTCAGTGAAATTGTTTACCGATCCCGTTTTCATTCAGTTGATGCTCGTTTGAAAACGCTGAGGGGGGGAGGCGCGTATGAAGATCGGCCAACAGATGCGTTATACATAAATTTGTCTCATTAGAAATATTTTCGGCGCATCATCATCATCATCATCATCATCATCGTCGTCGTCGTCGTCGTCGTCTTCGTCGTCGGCATCGTCGTTGGTCGTTGTCGTGGTTTGTCGCCGTAGGTGATGTTTACCACGTGCAGTTCCCATCAATGCTCACCGAGGAGTGACAACGGCGTTTCGAGCGTGCAAAAGCAATTACGTTTCGGTGCCAAGTTCTGAAAATCATCATCCTCTTGGCAAGCGACCGTGCCTCGGAAGCCGACTTGTTAGAAAGGCATGCGGATACCGCCCTCGGTGATCCAGCCTTCTCGAAATTAACTTCTAGAAAAATCAATTTCCCTAATAATAACATCTCTTCCATTTTTACCTCACTGAGGCGCACGCAGGCCAAACTTTGCTTGAAAGTGTTATGTAAAATTTTCCATATAGCGTACATAGTGTTGAATCATTATTGCAGATCGCTCAGTGGGGGATCTATCTCTTCCATCGCTGTTCAATTTTAGAAGACAAATTAAGACAAATAAAGATCACGCGAGCAGCGAAGATAATAAATTATTTTATACGACTGATATCGAATGATATCATCATTAAGAGTCTACGTTACACTAACACAACATTTCATTTGTATCTTTTTTTTTTGTTTTTAATCTAGACAATATATATTATTGAATTCTGTCTTTTAACGTTGTGATTCTGAAATTCCAAGGATTGACATGACTTTTTTTTTAACTCTATTCCTCCTATTATCTAGATTTTATATCTTTTCGAAGTGTAAAAAACATGTTAAAATGTTTCTTAAAACAGAAACTTTTGTTTATCTTTTGTGTATCTCTAGTTTTCTATACTGATAATATTATATTCACGCAATATTTCTAGTCGTTACTTCACTCCATGATTTTCAGTTGACTAAGAAAACGATATTTTTAAACCTTATTAAATAATGAAACTTATGGATCCCTGTAACAAAAATTTGCGATAAAGAATTTAGACTGCAACATAGAAACTTACAAAGAGATATAATTGTTGTTGTGCGCGAAATTCGAACACTAACCGAATTTATGTAACAAAGTTCTTTGGTATGTGGCATAATTCTGTTCTAATTCTTAAATATGCGACGTGGGTGGTAAGGCGTCGTTAACAGTAGGCTATATTTCAATCCGAAAGCCATGAATCTAGTTGTGAACATTTTCTGTGAACATGATATCTTTGTACGTTCGTTTAAGTTGTATCAATATAAACTGACAATATAAATTGAAAATATTCGCTGTGAATATATTAAACGAATATTCGTTCTAAATGATTCGTATCGATGGGATTCTTCTTGCTATTTTGTAGTTCGTCATCTGGTTGGCCTCCTGCCATACTTCCTAATATAGTGCCGTCGCAACGGTTCTTCCATCACAGTTTTTTGCCCGTCATTATGAAATTCAACCTAATTCTCATTTTCACATGGAAAAAGAATTGAAATAATAATCAATTTTCTATTTCTATGTTCATATGTGTGTACGTATATATATATATATATATATATATATATATATATATATATACTGTATATAATACTGTATATACTGTATATAAAACTGTATATAATATACACTATATATGTATATGTATGTACGTGTGATTAAATAATTACCTATGTATGTATGTACAACATATATACGAATAATATATTGATTTAAAAAAATATATAAATCGACTTACGAATGAACATAATAAGTGAAGAGATTCGGGAAATAAATACCTGCGTTAAGAAATATGATTTATAAATAATTATAAATATGGTTTCTTATCTTTTGATAAAGATTGTTCAATAAAAATTCAGTTGAAATTGTTACAACGAAAGTCGTTCATCCGAAGGAAGAAAATGGCAAATCGTTAGAATCGTCGGTAAGAAAGTTCGTTTCTAAAAAAAAAAAAAAGTTAGTACTTTCTGTCGATAAATACGAAATTCAAAATTGCAAAGCTTCGCATCGCATCGAACGACGTTAAGCTACATTAAGCAGTGATTACAATTCTACAGAGGAATGAAAAATCGTGAAAGTGAACCGTAAGGTCTCGATGGATCATATTGTGGAACACTTGTGTTAGAGGGGGCACGGCTCACTATCCATTCACAATATATACATTACATACATATATATATATACATACACATATATATATACATATATGTATATATGTATGTATATATATATATATATGCATGTCAGCAAGGTAGTATGTTCGCGGATCGTGTATGCAGAAGCGTTTAAATATTAATCACGTTACGGATGTTTTTACTGAACTGATGTGCGTGTTATAGACGGATAGACTATCGAGATGCCGCGGATGTACAGGCATAGCGGGAATGGAAATCCGTACTAAATACGGATCGCGCAACTTACAAATAAGCAGTGCCGATGGACGCGGCCATGTTTTCTGGTAGCAGAAATCTTACCCATTAATAATTCGTTAATCGTCGACCACGAAGTGGAGTGGACAGAATGCCGAAATGCGATGTGAAGACAAGGTATCTACCAGCTACGTTTGCCTGGACAGCTCTACTAAGCACCACGACACTCTTCTTCTGTTTTCCGTAAGTTCCGCACACATGTCTGTCTTCTCATGAGTGGCCGCAGTGTTTGCGCTCCTGTTTTCATTCTTAAGTGTGTGCCAGTTTTTTGGTAAAACGTGCGTGCAACTATGTATTACTTGGGTCTTCTAGCTGTCAATATTACGTGTTTCGATGGGGGACATGGGTACCTGCTCTTCAAGGAGTCATCACCTTTTTTGTTTTGGCAAATTTCACACTAGCAACATTCATGGATCCAGGTGTTATCCCAAAGGGTATGTTTATGCATAAAGTGAAAGTTTCATAAAAGATGAAATTGCGAAAGATAATTTCCGAAAAGGCATGATTTTCTTCTTTTTTTTTTAAAGCACCTCCTGACGAGGATAGAGAAGATGATTTTCATGCTCCATTATATAAAAATGTAGAAATCAATGGCATTACAGTTCGCATGAAATGGTGTGTTACGTGCAAGTTTTATAGACCTCCACGTTGTTCACATTGCAGCGTATGTAATCATTGTATTGAGGTATGTGCCCAATGTAATTTGAATGACTCTTAGAAACTACATGAAAATCTAATTTCTTTTTCGTATTTTTTAGACATTTGATCATCACTGCCCATGGGTAAACAACTGTATTGGTAGGAGAAATTATAGGTTCTTCTTTTTCTTTCTCCTGTCACTTAGTTTTCATATGCTCAGTATATTTGGACTTTGCCTATATTTTGTACTGGAACGTAAGCAACAGTTGGGTGAAGTGGACACTATCGTGGCGTATCCTTTTTTCTTGAAATAATGATTGTAATTTCGTGAGATGTTGCAATTTATGTTTAATATTGTTTTTATTATCTTTTCATTGTAACATATGATGTATCTTATAATCCTTAAATTTAAAATAGACTTGTACTTATGGGTGTGGTTATACTTCTGTTCATTCCAATCTTTGGACTGACTGGCTTTCATGTAGTACTTGTTTCCAGAGGACGTACGACAAATGAACAGGTAACGGGTAAATTTAATGGAGGCTACAATCCTTTTTCTCATGGTTGCTTACACAATTGCTGTTATACGCAATTTGGACCACAATACCCCAGGTAATGTGCTAGTTAATTTTTTATTCGAAACTGTAAATGAAACAAATAACTAATTGTGAATTTGTAACATTTCAGTTTGATTAAGCCTGAAAAGTATTCAGGAAAACGACGCGGAATTTCTACATCTGAGATATCGACTATAGGCAGTGAGAACCAGGTAAAAACCTACATGGATAGCAGCAATGGTGTTAGAAATGCCAGTTCAAATGCTTACAATAAGGTAAGAGCTAGTGCAACTTTGCTTAATACTTCTGATACTACATACAAGAAGATTTTACAAATGTAAATAGCTCTTCCTTTCTAGCATGCAACTTTAACGCTTTTTTGATGTTTAACATACTAGTTGTATGTAGTTTTATTATAGATATGTAATACATTCTGCTTTAGAAACTTTCGGATTTACGCTCTCCTATTTTCCGCGCTTCGAAGCTTCAATAAATTGTATATTGCGACTTCTAGATGTAGTGCATATCTCAACACATTTAAGAGAATTGCATGATTTCTCAAATTTCATAAATTTTCATTTGTTAATTCCAAGTTTCTTTCCTTAGTGTACAATTTCCAGCGACGATTCTTCTTCCACGTAACATATTATTTACAACGTTGGAGAAACATGCAGTTATTTTCTGTCCAATCCCCTGTTCCTTATCCATCCTGGTTGAACGTCAATATCCTAAAATGTGCGTTATTAATGTACAAAAGCGTGCTCTAATAGTCTGAACATTCATCTTTTTATTGCAATGAAGAGTGCATCAAGTTATTATGTTTATTGTTTCCAGTTGTCTCCTGGACGAGATGGGTCGGATACAGACATGGAACCTACCGCGTCACAGTCTGCAGATTGCGAACCCACACCTCCAGTACAAAGACACGGTTCCAAAAGCAATTTCTTCCTGCCACCTGTGGAGAATAGTGAATCTCCCAGGCACCCTCCACCATCGCAACATCGCCATCCAATGCACCACACTAGAGGCAGCCCTCACCCAAGGCCAAGGTAAAACAAAAAATTACAGCAAATGATAAATCGTTTGCTAATTGTTTTTCTAATATACATAAGGTACGTTGTCAATACCTATAGGGGAATGAACGGCTCTCGAAGCCATACGCCTGATCCATTATCGCCAGAAGCAAGCGGTTCACCAGCCACAGCTTCTCAAAGAGGTCAAGGTCAAGGAGGCGCTAGTCCAACAACACAACGGATTAAAGCTATTGGAGTACCAACTCCACTTGCCATTTCCAGTCCTATTCGCAGGTATACTATGCTTGTCTGCCGCTTTTGAAACGAAAATAGAACAATTTCAAAAATTTAAATTAAAAAATTTAAATTAAATGTATTTCAAATGAAAGAAAAATATGTGCAAGTATATATTACATATGATTATTGTATATGATACAATCCTGTGTGATATAAAAATAATTAAATATTTGTTCTATTCCGTGGATACATATAAAGTACTTTTGGGATATCTAACTTTTAGATGTATATTTTTCTTTTTTTTTTTTTTTTTCTTGTACGTCGCGGCGTTTCACAGTGCACAAAAATTTATCTCGTTGTAGAGAGCAAGAGGGAAGCGCCACATTTAGTAATAGTTTACATTGCATTTCTTGAGCACGCTACCAATACAAATTGAACAATCTCCTTTTTCAATATCCTGTTTGCTACCTTTCAACATGATGTGAAGCCTGTTTACTTCAAATTCCCTATTCCCCACTATAAACACCTCACTCTTGCTCTTATTCTTTCTTCCTTTATTTTCTCACCAGTATTCTCACCTTCTGAATGACGAAGGAACGTGACGAAACAAAAAAAAATGAAATGTTGCGCGATGTAGATCACAATAATATCGTAGAGAATTAGTTTCTCTATATAGATAAGTTTGTGTCCCACTGCAGGGGGTGGTAACTGCAAGGAGCTGCTTTCTACCATCATGTTGCAACCTACTGCAGGTAAACACGAACTTCATCCTACGAGGACATATCGTAGTTTAAAATTATGCTTTCTTGCGTATATTCCATACATACGTATATATATATATATATATATAAATTACTTATATATATATATAAATTATTATTATTATTATGTTAATATATATGTATATATATTTTTAAGAAAACTGCATACTTCAATATAAATATACAAGCTGTCCTTATCAAGTTAGTTCACTTTAAGTACCTTCATTACTTCAAATAATAAATAAAAGTATTGTTTACAAAATTGTGTAGTTATAACTACAACAATAATTTATTTCCATAAGGACGCATAATGAAAATCCGAAGATTGTTTTCCTAAATGTTCGGTTTTTTGTAATAAAATTCAATGGAATTCAATAAATTTTGAATGAAAGTACTAAACAATATTATTTATCGTTTTTATCATACTAAATAATATTGTTTATCGTTGATTATTCTTATCGTAAAACATATTTAGTACATGTATTCTGTATATAAACAGTAGATAATAGAAATATCATTCATTGTTCCAAATTTTTTAACATTAACACAGTTTCTTATTTATAATTATAATTATAGAATTTGTAATATGAAGTTTCGTTCAAAGAACAAATAAACATTATCTATTTACAGAAAAATACAGAGAGGCGTTCCGTTGGATTTGATCATATGAAATGGATATTTCATTTAAGAAAACAAGATTGATCGCTGATTTCTCGTGTCTTCTTTTACAAAGAAACTATTGTTATTACATATCTTTTGCAATCACGCAATTTTTTTAACAAAATTTTCATTTGCTATTTAAAATAATGAAGGCATTTAAAATGATTGACGGGACATCGAGTATATATACATATTTATACATGTATCAGTCGACAAACACGCAAGTAAATGTTCACATATGTATATCCTAGGTTCGCTGCGTTTTTACTTTTTCTTGGATAGATGCTAATTTTTATAACAGGAATGATGCGCTGTTCTCTCTCTCCTGTATGTCTCGCCAGAGCCGTATTTGTATGGCTACAATGCTCAGCACTCGCATATTCATCTTGGTTCACTGTATTATTGTATTGCATTTGTCGAATATTCAATTACTAAGCGTAGAATTTGAAAGCGCAGAGGTCAAAATGTCGTATCTCTGTTACAGATCAAATCCAGGTACGCCGACGCAGGTTCGTCGGCCAGATTTTATAGGAGTTAACGAGGCACCGACTTATTACGATGTACAGCAAGGAAATAATACCGGTGTTGGTGCTGCTAGTGGTGCCGTCGTAACCGGTTACAGCCCACAGCGACGTTTTTTGTCAGAAAGTGAGCTCGTTCGTCAAGGTACTGATCATTCGTACTCAAGAACTAATAATACTGTCGACAATATCCGAGAGTTAGCGGGTTCACCTCAACGTGGTGTCTATATGTGGAAAGATAATTCTCCTGGCAGCTATCCTGCTCCAACCGGAACGGCGAATGCAACAACGCAACAGTCACCCTCGCAAAGACCTCCACCACCGTACGATTACTACCGTTCCAATCCGACGAGTCCTACTCAACAGTTGTACGCTAATCCACCTAGAGCAGCGTACCATCCTGCAATGAGAGGTGGAGTACCGGTCTTCCCGCCGCACCAGTCGCCACAAGTGAAACGAAAAGCCACAATGGCGACACCAACTACTCCAACATCAGGTGATACTCGACGCAGACCAATGTCTTTTGTCAGAGCTTTGGAAATGACAGATTCTATGGAGATGGTGTCAGCGCCTAATGATAGTAGATCACAGCGGCCCACGACACCGACCCCGGACCGTGCTAGTGTCTACGATATGAACTATGAGATATCTGTATAGCCCACCTTTACGGTCTCCGCACCATCCTGCGGCTGGACGGAGATTGTACAAGAATTGCCGTCATTGCGCGTTTCCTATTGCAAACAGGAAAGAACGTGTGCCGCTTACGAAATATCCGTCTAAATTTTCGTGTCGAAGCAGCTAACGACAATTTACGTCAAATGATATTAACCCGGTCGGGGAAATTGTAAAGTTCTTCCGGCCCAAATGTTAATTCACGTTTACGTCACATCCACCATACTTGAAATAATATAGAGCAAGGCCAATTATTTTCCCGAGAAGGCAAGGACGTCAAACGCAGTTATCGTTCATCTATATTATTAGTGATACCCGCAGTGTACAATGCGTATGGACGATGGTATGTTAAAATATATTCAGTGAATAATGATAGTCGATAGACAAAAAAATCTCCGGGAAAGAAGTATCGGTGTTTAATAATTTCTATTGTGATTTACTAATAACGAAAAATGCATTAGGTTTTTTATTTCGTGTTGAACTCAGAAGATCGTCAAGCCGATGGAAAAAATGCTTGTTGAAAGCCGGGTCTACCGTTAATATAAGACTGGTCGTGTCTCGTTATTAGCAAAAACTTTTCGTTTAGTCATTGTTTAAGGGGAGGTGCATTCGATTCAATATGTACACGAGAGCGAAATTTCGTGTTCATTTAACCGAGAGCGAAAGAAGCGTTCGGGCCGATTAACAATCGAAATAATCGAGTCACGAAAGCGTCAACGAAAGTAATTTTGAACGTTTAGTGACAATTGCTAAGCGAAAACAGCTGCCGAAGAATTTTTCCTCGTTCGGCAGCATACACAATTCTATTTTTTAGTATGCAGTATAAAGTCAGTTTAGATTTTGATACCGTAACATCGTGATTGAATTTTTCGAAACGCAGCATCGATTAATTTTCGTTTGTTTCATTTCTTTTTTTCCTTTATTGATCACAATACACGATTAGACGAATAACAATGAATATAGAAATTATCTTAATCGGACAATTTTGTTAGGCTCGCAATCTAATCTATAGCCGTATTCTTTTTTTCATTTCGTAATGATACAAAGGAATGTAGAACAACGTTGCGAAACAAGATGAAAATCGAATCTGTTAGTATAATCTTCTGTCTTCATTGATGCAAAAAGAATTCGTGTCCAATTAACAAAAAGTTACTTAATCAATTTAAGTCATTATCAGGATAGAATAACAAATTCTGTGTAAAATAATCGTGTAAAATGAAATGTGTAGCAAATTTTTAATATACATATTTAACAATATTTATACGTAAATAATAAAAAAAAAATATAAGACTTTATAATAATTTCATTTGTTTGTTATAAATGATGATTTTATCGATGTGACCACTAATACGATCAATTAATTTTTATTAAGTGAAGAAAATAATAGTTAAAATGATATAAGAAAGAGAACTGTGTGAATGTTAAAAGAAAACGGATGGATGGACGAATGGATGTATATCAAGAGAATATGTATTTAGAATATTATAGATGAAAAAGCAACTGACAGACCGGCATGTTTCAAATGTTTACAATGGTGGATAATTCACTTGATAAAGAAAAAAAAGAGAAAAAGAAATAGAAAAAAACATGAATAACAGACTTTGTTAACAAGGGGAATACAATTTTGTAATATATATATTGCATAAATTTATTGATATATCTACTGCTACTGTTAAGTTTGTAATATACCCCGCTTTTAAAAAAAAATTGCATGACAATTTCTGTATTATGTATTTGTATGCGAGACCAATATTATCAATTATGCAGGCTTAATGAATAATTGCGAACCGTGTATACGTAAGGTAATCGTGAAATATTGCGTGCCCAGTTACCTTGCGTCAAATTGATAATCGAATTATTATTGTTAAATAGCACATATCGTTCTGCTAAAGGGCTTATCAAACATCGAATATTTCCAAGCTAAATGAACATTTCCTCACTGAACATCCGATATATTTGGTAAAAAAAAAAAAAAAAAAAAGAGAAACAGTGGATACATAACAATTATTAGAAATATTTCTTCCATTGCTGCGCTACTGATAAAAACACATTCGTTTCCTTTGTTTTATGATTATATATATTTTTATTTTTCTTTACAATGAGCTGTGCCAAAACAAAAGAAACATACGACTTTCCATATTCACTCCAATTATGTAGTTTTGACATAATGAGCACTTGAAAAAAGAAATTAAATAAAGATAAACAAAGGACCGGTACAACGTCAAAACTTTTTGATTGCTTTAGAGAATTATGTGTAAAGTGTGACGAATGTTTAGTGTTTATAATTCGGTGTACTTGTACATAAATATTGCTCGTTATTATCACTTAAATGTACATACATAAACATTTCGGTACTTACGTATCGCTGCAGCAATCTACAAAAATAAAATTCATGAAATACAAGCTAATTGTACTCTAATTGTGCTAGAATTAATTTTCGTTGCATTAATTTCTTATTGCATTTAGTATTATATTTTCGAAACGTTAATTATAGGATTTTATTAATATACATAAACATATATAAAATGCTTCTCTAATTAGATCGAGCTACAGCTTTTAAGTGATAGAAATTAAATCAGAATTAAGTAGTTTTGAATGAATGTAACACATGATACGTGTATATTGCTTCGAACGTATAGGCAATTCAAAGATTTTAAGGTCATTTCTATTTTTTTTATATTGAACTATATATTTTTTGTCGATGTGTTTTTTTATTCTCTGCTAAGAAAAATATTAAAATTCTTGAATAAAATAACTAGTTTGGAAGATATTTTAACTTTAATTTTATAAAATTTATTGTAAAACTAGTGAGAGATAAGAAAAGATATAAAGCAGTACTTTTTTGTTTATTTTAGACTGTAGTTAAAACATAAAATATCTTTTAAATCAGTCATTTTCAGATACAGGTGCCTTTAATCCTTTCTTGTAGGAGAGTGATGTATAAAAATATATAATTCAATAGAGATAATCTTGAAATCTTTGAATTGTTTCACGTCTGAAGCAAGTATTATCGAAACTATCTAATTTTCTGCTTACAATTAGTGAAATTTTTCATCCATTGTTTTCATCCTTGATTGTAAATTACAACTTACAAAGTTGCACCAAGGAATACTCTGTGAGAAAAACGGATTTGAAAAGCGCGGCATATTATAAGTGTTCATAAATAAGATTTCACGTAGCCTTTAAAAATGTTGATCAAAATTTACACGTGGACGCAGGGGCTGATAGTAGACAACATAATTATTAAATAATACTAACAATAGGTAATTTTAACATTTTTTTCAGTTTCAAGTATGTTCAGTGTTAAAGCACTGCACGGTTTATCGATAGCGAAGTAAATTTTTAGCATAAATGTAGAAATACGCAAGCAAATCTTAAGTTATTTCTGTTTATGATAAGAAAAAGATCTATATTTATTTCATGGTTTTAGAACGATTCAATATTAAATGGTATTAAATTTTTATATTTATTATATTTTATATGAGTGACACAAGTTATGATTAGAACATAAGAAATTTTGATTAGAACTATCATAAGAAATTTGCAAATAAAAAAGATAGTGGTATCATTTATCTTACGATTAATTTAACACATAACGGATATTTTATGGCATGGCCAAATTTTCATAAGTTTTTGTGGCTTCAGGTGATATGGCTGCAACTCGGCGGGAATAACGACGCGAGCGCCCCGTCATTTTATTGGTAATTTTGTTTCATGTACTTCATTAACTTTGTATGTTATTCCATTATGATTCGTTGAAGGAATAAAGTTCTTAATTGTCGGTATTATATATTGTTTACATGCAATAGTGTTTAGTACATAACTAACAGCGAGAACGTGTTCTGTGAAAGGTGACGATCTTTTAGCGGCATCATCCGCCATTATTGGCGTTTGCACAACGTTCAACAAAGTTTTCTTACGTTTGTAGAGCCAAAACCACACCTATAACCTGGAGATTTGTATCATACTATGATGTGAGTAATGCATATTATTTTTTTTGTTGTTTTGATCCTGGTCTTTTCATTTAATCGTAGTCTTGTTATTACCGGGTGTTTGTGAACATAGGGCACGCAGTCGGAAAGATAGTACGGGTAAAAGCGACTCTGAAGTCACTGATAAAGAAAATAAGAAGGAAAGGGGCAGAGAAAGAGATAGAAAAAAGCGAGCTGCCTCCACATCCAGCAGTGGAAGTAGGTGCGTAAATAAATATTTTCTTGATAAAGCTAATGGTTAAAAATGCAAAATTATATTTTCATGTCTACTATTTGTACTTCATAGTTCTTCAGATAGCAGTTCAGGGTCATCATCGACGAGTAGCGGAAGTAGTTCCAGATCGAGCTCTACTTCTAGCACTACTTCCACCAGTTCAGCAAGTTCTTCTGGAAGTTCTAGAGATAGAGGAAGAAAACGAAGCAGAAGCAAAAGTGTAGATGCCTCACGTAGACATGATAATAAAGAAAAAGAAAGGGAAAAAGAAAGAGAAAGAGAAAGAGATAGAGACAGGGATAGAGATAGAGACAGAGAAAAAGATAAAAAGAAGAGTAGCAATTCTGTAATTGACAAACCGAAACCCAAAGGACGGTCTAGGTAAAGATATGAGTCAAGTATATATGGAGAAATAGCTTTAGCTTATAACTTCATTTTCTTTTTTTTATTTCATTTGTTTGTGTTGTAGATCACCTTCACCACGTAGAAAACGCAGAGAAAGATCACCAATTCCTAGACCAACAAAAATACATATTGGACATCTAACCCGTAATGTTACTAAAGAACACATTATGGAAATTTTTTCTACGTACGGTCAGATAAAAATGGTTGATTTTGCAATGGACAAACTTCATCCAAATCAAGGACGAGGTTTTGCTTATGTGGAGTTTGAAACAGCAGACGAAGCTGAGAATGCAATGAAACATATGGATGGTGGTAAGTACAGATTCTTCTCACTTATTGTCTTATTAGAGATGCCGATAATTTCGTTTGACGAATATTTTAACGATATCTACAGGACAAATAGATGGTCAAGAAATTACTGCTGCCCCAGTATTATTACCAAAACCACGTCCGCTACCGATGCGGAGGATGTCACCTTTAATGGGAAGAAGGGCACCTCCACGATGGGGTGGTGGTGGTGGTAGAAATACTCCTCCTCGTTATCGGAGACGTTCACCACCAATCAATCGTCGTAGAAGCCCACGACCACCACGACGTAGACCAAGAACTCGATCGCGAAGTCCTCCAAATAATCCACGACATCGGCACCGTCGTTACACGAGATCAAGTTCTAGCAGCTCTCGATAGCAACTTTTTTTGTACATATAAAATAAGAACTGAATCTGACCAATATTGGTTCATTCTGATTGGTCATCTTAATATACTGAGCAAAACGATTTTTACCGATTGGCAGAAAAGTGTATGCACTCAAAAATACAATACACTTGTCCACGGCGGTGTTTACAAAATTTCATTGTCGATAATTAAAATGCCGTTCGTGATTTGCAAATTCTGCTTTTGAAATATATCAATTTCACACGTGATAAATATATTACTATTGATTCGTACCTGAAGGCCGATGACCTCAGATAAAAGAATATAGTCTTAAACATTGTCATGTGATGATATTAAATATAAGACATGAAGACTTCAGAAAAAAAAAACATTTACTACGTTATCTCGTAAAGAGATATGAAAAATTGAACTTATTTGTTATGAAGTGTAGCGGCAGTATGTGTGTATTTATAACTAACATTTTTTCTGAAGTCTTTATGTTTCAGGCTTGGTAAAAGTACTAGAAACGACAGATTTGATAGAAACTATGATTATTAGACCCTTTTACAAAGAATCAATTTTAGAAAAAACCTATTCACACAAAATCCTCTTTTATACTTCGCGATATCTACAAGAACAGAATCATTGCATCACATTGCAATGTATCGATGAAAAATATCTACACTTTTTTAAATTGCATATGGTCGTTAATTGTATAATATACATTTTGTTATGATGACTTTACAGTATAAACGGAACAGTGTAAAGAGCCTGATTACTTGACAGAAGTAAGTATATTTTTGGAGGCACCAGGATTTTCGAATTTAGTTAGCCTGGTCCATGGCACGAATATTTTATTTTGTTCTCCTTTTTTTCCCCTTAAAAGAATGAATTAGTCTCTGGTAACATAACGACGTATATAGCTGATAAATTGAGAGGACGATAAAACGGGGATATAAAACAATTTTTCTTTTTCAATTTTCATAGACACAAAATCAGAAGCTGCAACATTTCTACATAGCGTTAACTGTGTTTTTGATTAAAGCACTTTGGCACGAACAAACTGCTTTTGTATTTGTTTACTCACGAATCCCATGATTTTCTTAATGAATATAAAATTCTTTCTTTTGTTTTATTTTATTCCAAAATGTATTTGTAGTAGACCTGTTATAATTTGTCAAAAAACAATTTGATTTACAATTTGTGTCTATTATTCTCCTTATAATTACGATGTAAAATAACTGCAATAGTTTTAAATAATCTTACGTTTTATATCACAGGAAGCACCAGAGTGCGATTTTAATTTGCATGCGAATGAAGAGAGAAAAGCAAGCTTGTGCTGCCAAAAGCCAAAGATACCTGTTTTTTTGCCCCCTCGTTTTCTTTACTATTACTTCTACAGTACAAATTAATTCCTATGAAGAAAATGGAAACATATAAATTTTTTTTTATATTATGACAATTAAATTAGGGCAACTTGCTTTACGATCGTATCCATACGTCAGTAGTAGAGATTCGTTTATACGTCGCAATAAATAAATTAGTAATTAAATAATTTTTGAATAATGGTAGAGATCCGCTTAAGTTTGCTCTTAACTTGGATTTCTTTTTTTTACGTAGCTTCATCTCGCATTCTACAATATCTATAATATTACACACGATACCTTTTTTTTTTAAACTGTACGCATAATTACCGTAATGATTAAAGTTTATATCACTATAAACAGTCAGATCTCCGAAATTTGCAGAGAATCACATATAAGTCATCATTATTTGTTTTCTTCTTTCTTGTAACCCACATTATTTCAATAAATGCCTTAGTTTATTTATATGCATGATTCGTCCTTTAACTTCCGTGTAATCAGACGGAATTTCTATAATCACGAACTTTTCATTTATCGAAGGCATTTTCGTCAATAATCTCTTTACGCGCCACATGAATGCATTTATTTGTTACTTTTAAATGTCCTATACGTGTTTTATTTCTTCGCACTTTCTTTGATAGCTATAAATATTACATAATTTATATACAATTTTTTTTAAATAACGCCTCTTCTCCATTAGCAAAATATCAGCACCAGGGGTCTGGAAACTTTACGAAAATTCTCAGAATGCTGACCCTTTAGTGCGTTCACTTGCAGAAGCTGAGGACGTGGGGAGGATATATCATCGAGGTTGGGAAGTATCCTCCTTCTTATGTATATCTGCGTGCATCAAAGCGGGTTCTAGTTGTCGTGTTGGCACCCCGGGTCCAGGTCCTGCTCTATGATGCATATGCAAATTACTCAATGGACCAGGACTTGGATCCTTGCTTCGTAAAGAATTTACAGGCGGTGGTGGATACCCGGCGTAAAGTTTAACCCTCTCTTCTTCTTCTGCTCGAAATGCAGCAGCAGCCATTAATGGATTATAGCGTAATTGTTGTAAGGGATCGTAACGGTAATCCCGAAACGGATCCCCAGGCCATGGACCTCCCGGTTGACCAGTAGGCGCGGAAGGAGGTGGGAAATGTTGAATTGGATGCGCGCTCAAACCAGGGAGCATACTTCGTGGCATGGAATGCGGTGCAGGCATACTATGCGGATGCCTTGCAAGGTATGAATGAGGATGAGGATGATGATATCTCGTATCAGGCAGTGGACTTGGTCCTGGTCCTGTACCAGACGCTGTCCCAGGTCCAGGACCTGGTGGCCTTGGCAGCATCACAACTTCATCATCTTTACTTCGTGGTTCTTCTTTAACGCGAACTTCTCCAGTTTCTATAGGCGCCGATCCGTTTCTTAAAGGCGACCGTTCTCGACCTACAACTACGTGCTGCCGATTTTGATGAAGCAATCTTTCACGTTCCATCTCGCGTCTTTCCATCTCTCGACGTTCCTTGTCTCTCCTTTCTCTTTCTCGTTCGGCAGCCTCCTGTTGTTTTCTTTTTTCTTCCTTCTCGCGCTCCCGTCTCTCCCTCTCACGCTGCTCCTCTCGTTCCCTTTCTTTTTCGCGTCTTATACGTTCGCGTTCCCGTTCGCGTTCTCGTTCACGCTCTCGCTCACGTTCACGTTCGCGCTCCCGCTCTCGCGCTTCTCGTTCTTCCAGTTCGGCTCGTCTGTCAATTGCAGGTGGTTCCGGTTTTAAATTCCACGATACCGCCGTGGTTGGTGGAAATCCAGTAGAGGTTCGCTGTAATCTAAACAGCAAGAGAGAGAGAGAGAGAGAGAAAAAAGATAAGTTACACGTAATTCTTACACGAGTAAATAATTAAATAAATAATAATAATTAGATACATACCCTCTCCATGGATCATGTACAGAACCTAGGCCACCCAATGGTGGCATTTCCCTCGAAGGAGGAAAGCTAGAAAGACCAGGGAAATTTGGATTCGGTGCACCAAATGTTGACGGATACCTTCCAAACGGTGACATTCCTGTTCCTAAAATAGTTTTTATATACATATAATCAATTTCGGTTTGCGGGAAATAATATTTCGCATATTGATCGATGCGATAAATTACCCAAATGCGATGCTGGCGTCGATAGAAAACCAACAGGATGAGGTGGAGGTGGAGCTGGATGTGTTGGTGGTATATTAGTAGGAAATGGTGGTGCCATTGGAGGTGCTCCTATTCCGAGACCACTTCCTGGTCCTCCTGGATAAAGATGACTTGGTGGTCTTAAAAGTTCTGTTTTAGTATTAACGACACTTCCAGCTTTTGCTTCTGCTTGCTGCTTCTGTTGATGGTGATAAATTTCCCAAGCAATCCGAACATGCATTGCATTCCATTTCCCACTTTTCTGCATCAAGCATACAAGTTATAATGAGTACATTGAGCAATTTATAAACTTTTATGACTTGTTCTCATTAAAAAGATTACCTTTGGTGCAAATGATGTCAAATGATTTGGAGGTACAAAAGGAGTTGAAGGTGGACCAATTCCAGGATGCAAGAGACCAGTATTAAAACCAGAATAACTAGAAAGGTTCAGATTTCCACGAAAAAATGGAGATTCAACGCCTCCTAATTTTGGAATATCCTTGAACTAGGAAATACAATTATCATAAATATCACAGTATAAATGATAAATATTACTCTTACGTAATAAATACGAGGAACTACGTTACGTACTATAGGAGGTGGAAACAATGTTGTCGCGGCCGTTGGTGGAAGCAGAGGTGTAGTATGTTGATGCACGTGAGTATGCTGATGTTGATGATGGTGCATCTCCGTCCTAAGATATGGGGGTGGACCCAAATTGCCAACTCCAACTCCAACGTTTCTATCTTGGGATGCCAAGAATCTATTGTCAAGCTCTCGCCTTAACAGGTCTGCCTGACCTGCGACATGAGTCACCCCTTGTTTCGGTTAGTGTCTCATTCGTTTTGAACTTTTATTCTACCTTCTTTTTCTCTTTCTCTCTCTTTGTTACTCGAATTGAATACAAAATTGAAATATAGCTTATAAACTTACTTGTTTGGAAAAGTGACTCGGCGGAGAATGGATTAGGATTGGTCGTTGGCGGTGGTAGTGAAGGCAGTGACGTATGTGGACTGGAACTGGATACGGGAGGTGGTAAGGGTGCCGCAAACATTGGCGGAGGAAACGTATGCATGCCAAGTGGTACTGGTGGAGGAGTTGGCCTTGGAACTGATGTTGCTGTTGCCGGAGATAATTGTGATGTTGTGCTGCTACTGTAAGTTACATATGAAAATATATAAATTACCAGTAAAAGATGAAGAAACTATTTAGCATATACTGATTTCATTCATACCCAATCCATCCTTGTGGTTTGGTGTAAGCAGGTAGACTAGAATTGGCTGGAGAAGATGTGTTTGGCACACTTACAGGCGTTATGCTACCTCGACTTAGGCTACTGACGTTACTGCTATAATAAACAACATTATTATAAGACACTTGTTATAATGAATGAGAATATTTATAATTACAAGATTACTATACCTATAACTATCTCTTTCTCGATTTGGACTATGTCCACGAGGTGAATTATTGTTTCTTCCAGTCAAACTACAGGCTACCACGTCTCTGTGAGCAATGGTATTTGCTGTAGTAACTGTATTAGTTATTGTGGACACACATGTTGTGGTGGCAGCGCTCAAAGGAGTATTATGATTTGTGGTATTATTTCCTACAGGCTGTTGTTTACTTATATTAGTACACGGAGAAGCCCTACTTCCTCTCTAAAAATGAAATTAATCAGGATTAGTGCTTTATTCAACAATTATTCAAATTTTCGTTACGTATAACATTTATTTGAACCAAACAAATTGTCAATTACGACTCACCACTTCTGCCCTCGATGAAGCAGAATGAGAGGGAGATGGAACTGCAGGCGGAAGATATGGGCTGTGATTTAGAGCAGTATATGGTGTATAAAGAGGTGGATAAGATGGTTGGGTTTGAGGATAAGCAGCCATGGGTATCGATGGTGGATAGCTAGTAGTTGTAGCTCCGTTTGATGGTGCTGCTGGTGTAACACCTAAACTGGCTACTGCAGGACTAGTTGTATGACTCGATGAAACAAGGGGTACATTAGGTGGATGTAATGCCGGTATTGTAGTATGAGGCTGTTGGGATAAGGAAGGAGGTGGCAGAGCAGGGGAAGCTGGCCGCTGCTGCGGAGCTATTGCACGTGGGTTTGCTGCCAATGGACTAGTCATCTGAAAATACATTTAATCAAATGTATATCATTCATAGTAACAAAACGCCAAATCACAAACATTTACTTACAGGTGGTTGAGATATGTGAGGGGGTAGAGTAGGACTAGGAGGACTTGGCGCTGTTGGAACTGGTGCTGATGCAGGCACAGGAGGTGGTATAGGTGCCGGAGCATCCGTTGCTGGATTGGAAATTTGTCCACCCGTGTCTGGAGGTGAACCTCCTGCTCCGTTTGCTGGAGGCAAAACGTGCGGTGAAGATGATGGCAATTCGTCTACAACACAAAAGTTGATTTTAAACAAGCATTTATAAAAAAAATATGCATTATTGTTTTAAACATTACATACATTTACGTGCAAGGGGTGGTGGGGTAGAAGATTCAAAGAGTATCGATTCAGCATCCGAGCCCTAAAACAAGAAGCAATTTTTAACAAATTGTTGCTTATTTGTTGCTATATGATCTTTATGATACAATTACTTACCTTATCGTCTTCTCCTTCACTATCACACTGTAAAGAGAAAAGAAGATAGAAGATTGTTATTATAATAATTTTAATTGTAGATATAATATTTTAAGTTAATGACACTTACGATATAACCTTTACCCGAACTGCAATGACTGCTAGCCTATAAAACCAGTGAAAATTGCACAAGTATGAGAATTTATTCAACAAAGTAACTATAATATCATTTCATAATGTTACTTACATCGCTGAGGTGGTCCCTGGAACTGTCTGCGTCCTGGCAATCCCTAGGTATACCAGGGCCATGCAATTGTTCTGATGCTCTACCACTATCGTCACTTGTACCTGCATCTAGGCCCTGCAAAACAACCCAAGCATAGATCAATTCTTTATTTTATGTCAAAACATCAATCATGATTTGAATTGAGGAAACTTACCTGGTTAATTGTAGAAGGTGTCAGTATGGAATTGTGTGTATAATGATTATGCTTGAAATGATTTTTGATGTGATGCTCGTTGTGTCTATTATTTTGTCCTATGTCCACCTTTGGTTTTTCTTCCACTATTGACAGTAACGTATGCAACTTCTTTACATTATTTTTGCCAGCTAGCTTTATTGCACTCTGCAATCATAAAAAAAGTTTGAACTGCATTTTTATCTGAAAAAGAGATAATTGGAAAATAAGTAAACGTTAAAAATATGAATTCTTTTAAAAATATATTTATAAAAAGATTTTTTCTACTTTTGAAAAAAATATGTATCAGTGAAATTAAAATAATTTGCAATTTCAATATGAGAAGCACACTTTCAAGAATGCAAGATTACATTCTGAGCAATTGTGCTTATTTGCATGAAGCTAAGGATACTGTTGCAAGCAGATATCATGATAAACGTAATATAATCCTTTAGATGGGTTTGTGCGATCGCTAGTATCACAAGCTCAAATTAAAATAATTAAATCCATTCCTGGTGATCGATAATAACTATACTTAATAAACTAGGAATATTTTTGTACTCGTTGGTTACGCTTGCATTCAACATGTACATATAAAGTCCGAGCAACCAAGCAAGCGATTATATGTTCAACACGTATGGTAAACACACCACAGATTATCCGCCACAGATTTACTACACTGGCGTAAAAATCGAGCTGGATAATTTATTTTTTTTCATCACTGAAAACGTCGACGGATCCGTCAGGGTCCGTGGAGTGAGAAGGCACAAGACGAAAGATATGAAGTTGGTGCGCGCACACAGTAGAAAAAGCCGTATGAGAACGCCTTTCCGTCGGGTGCCTTTAAACCGCGATGTCAGTGCACATTTCTGAACGGGTGGCGCTCTGCCCCCTCCTCTGGCTTTTTTCTCTTTCGGTTTCCCCTGCGTGCACCTAAATACCGTTATCGCGACGGACGCGGTTCCCTCCCTCGCTGTTTCGCGAAACGAAAATAATAATCCGTTGGACGTTCGTTCACGATCGGTGATGAATTTCGTTTAAATTCGAGCTGCCTGAGAGAAACGGGCGTTTGCAAAGATGACAGCGGGATTCACAAGCAGCACACCATGTCTCGTGTGCGCGATGCAGCACACGAATGGTGGGGAGAATGAAAGAGGCAGCGAACGAGGTGACGGCGAAGGGGGGCGAGGGGGCAAGGGGGCGGTGGGAGGGAGATCGAGTACGAGGTGGGGATGAAAGGAGAAGAGAGGGGGAAACGACGAGAAAGGCAGCGGTGGAAGAGCGAGAAAGAAAGAGAAGACATTGACCGAACGAGCAGCCGCGCGACAAGGCCTCCTTTGCCGTGCCAGGCCAGCTGGAAGGAACGAAGCCTGAACCCTGACTTCTCTTTCTCAGCTCCGAGAGTGTTACTTTCCTTTTTCAATAACCGCGTATTCGCGCACGATCTTTCCTGCCCTCTTTGTCGTTCTCTCTTTCTCTCTCTCTCCCCTTCTCCCTCTCCCTCTCTCTAGCACAGTTGGCTACCAAAAGAAACACGATGGGAAAAAACCACTAGAACTCGCGGTGTAAAAAACTACCACCTAGCAAAAGCCATACTCCACCTGCGCACGTGTGCCAACTGTGAAGTGAAACCCCCTAGGACATGTACCGCGGGTAGATTACATGTTATATTTCTTGCAGCTAGGTGAATTAATTGAATAAACCGCTAGCTTGTGAATATACATGGAAAAAAAGAAAAGAAACATATGTGCAAGGATACGTCAGTTGTATTATTAATATAATACTGATACAATATTACGGCCTTTGGTGACTAAACTTCAGGTAAGCCAATTATGTACGATTCTGGAAGATAATTTTTTGCAGTTATTTGAATCATTAATAATAAATGATAAGAAAACGTATTTTTTAAGAGAAAATCCTTCAAATTTTAATTTTTGTTTTGATTTCAGAAGAACTTGCGGTTTTCTGCTTTAACATCATCGCGATATCATCGACCTGAATGTATTAATCATTAAAGTGGGAAAAGTCTTGGTAATTGTAGGATAATTTACATCTTTTAATTGTGTTACTTTGTTAATGATTCAATTCAAACTGTTTAATATGAACCATATGGTAAAAAGAAAACCTCTGATACTCTTAATGTACGTACGTAATTTCTGGTTTTAACCTTAACGAAGTTCTTTTTTATAATAATAAAAATCTCTTTATTTGTTGAGGCAAAAGTGAAATTGGGACGCAAAAATTCGCAAAAGAAATAAATTCGTATCTAGATAAGTTTGAAGAAGATAAAGAAGTGTTGGTCAATCTGGAGGCAAGGTTCCTCGACACGGGATGAGTAAAGGAAGGTCGTTCCCGGACGTGCGGACGTTCCACCGGTCGGCTACTCCGTGCTTTGGCTAGCCGGCTACTAAACTCGTTCGTACAACGTTGCCACGTCTATTCGTTCGGTGTTGACACGATCGGACTCTAATTCAGCTACTACTCACTGAGTTCGCATATACTCAGTCGGCGACGTTAATGCACGAGGCTCATACACATGCGACTTGAACGAGTGGATGATTTCAAATGAATTGCCTTCTACGCGTTATCTCAATCGCTATGTCATTTCAATCTATCCGTATATTTGATGACAAATAGAGATGAACATAAAAACATTTCGTTCGTTGTGAATAAATTAAACCGTTTAAAATTGTTTTATTTCACAAAATTATGAGGAAAGTATCTAATTATTTTGTTGCCAGTATAATAATTTAATATATCACGATTATAATTATAAAGAATATGTTATTATATCATATTACTTTATTCACACATATTTTTTATTTTAGGAGTAAAGTAGCTCAAAAACTGATCACACAGCTTTAATTATTGATCATTGATGAGGAAACAAAAGAGAAGCGCTTAATCAAACAAATATATTTTCATATAAACTAGAATTAAAGGTTCGAGTTAATTCGATATAAAAGAAATTGAAAATCATGTGGATACTTGGGATACGTTCTTAAATATTTAGAAAATACATTCATTACAGTAAAGTGTTAAGTATTTTAATATTGGTAGTAATAATTCATTGGTAGAATGATGTTATTCATTTCAATTCAAAAGCTGCACCGGTTATATAAATCATAAAATATTCAAAACATGCGATTTCAAGTTTTTATGAAGTAAATTGAGATATGTTAAGTTGTATTTCAATGAAACATTAATATTAAAAAACCTGATTTCAAATCAATCAAGCGTATCAAGAACTGGCCTTTACATTTAACAACAATGTTTCTTTCTTGGCGGGCATCGCTAACGTCGCGAGATTAAGTATTCTTCGCTCTCGTTTGTAACAAGCGCATAATAACAGTCATTCGGACATCTGTTTGACGAAAATTTCGGCTGCTTGCCAGTACCAAATTGACGTGCTGAGCGTGAAACGATACTGGCTGTGGTCCAAAAATTATCCGAAAGTAAACATATATCATGGCAGCATTGTTTATATTCTCAGTTACCGACTTCGCGTTTTTCTTTTCACGTTGATTTTTTAAAATATCTTTAAATTATCGCCAATGTCGAAAGTATGGAAAAAAACATTTGTTAATATTTAAACAAATTCTGCAAACGGTATGAAAAACGGTATAAACAAAATTTTGTATTTTTATCAATTTCTATTAAATATTTCTTATGATTTTTTCTCAGGTATTATATACGTTTGTAAACTAAAAGTTTGCAAGTGTGATGATGTTCAAGAAATAGGGATATGATTAATTTCCGTTGAATGAGATTCTTCATCGTGAAAAAATATATTTTAATACTGGTAAGAGAGAATGTCGAACGAAATATAAAATCGAAGAAGAGCAATCAATGTTTAACGTATGCAGATATCTATGTTTTGTCTAGTTAGTCAATACCAGCTGATGAAATGAATTCTACGAACACAAGGCAGGACAGAATGAAGGCAGTATGGAGTGCTGAGCAGAAAGAGGAAGGGGAAGGAAAAAAAAAGGGAGAAGGAACCGGTGGCAGTAAAAAGATTTACAGTGGCGTAAATACAGCGGTAAAGCGATCATCGTTCGACCATGGTGCAAGATTATTTTCAGACATAAATATTTCTCGCCGATTTACATAGTTCTTGTCTTTTCTGTTCGACAGGCACGTTCCATACGCAGTTTTCGAACGATACGCGCAATTCAGATGATTTGAGAATAAGTGCCGCCATTATCCTGACGTGCAACGTTTTATTGCGGATAATACCAACCACGATCGCTTCCGCAATAATTGCAGTTTTGTCAAGCATAAAAAAAGAAAAAAGAAGAAGCAAAACAAAAAATCATAACCGATCTCTAGTTTTTCTCACATTCAAATTCACTGTGCTAAAGTAGTTGGGTACTTGAGACTGTCTTAACTTTCATTCTTTCTTCGATACTGTTAATTGAGAAACGGATGACTGGTCGTATGAAATGCTCCCGCTTTTTCTAATTTGTACTTCTTCTCTCTTTCATTTCTTTTTCAAAATTCCATTCGACGAAGACGCAAGATAAATAAGTTACAGTCAAACACCTTTGTAAGTAATCATACGTTTCTCTTTCCTTTTTTAAAAGTATGAAATCACAGATATTAATTATATTTCAGTTTGAGATTTTTAATTCAATTCCAGCGTGGCCAAGAAAACCGATTAATCCGAGTCAGAGCAAGATATTTGAAAGTAAAGTGTTCGCCTTCTTTCGTGTTCAAATTATAACGAGAGGAACTGGGTCAACTCGCCGTGCAGGTGCACGACCGTGTTTCGTCCATCATCGATACACATCCCTTTTGTCGTTTCCGTATCGATTTGTGAACACGACTCTTTATAAACGTCGTTTCTGCTTTCTTCTTCTACGTACCGTTTGCGCACTAAGAAAATATTTATATGCGAGAAGCAACAAATATTATAATAAATATGAAAGATAAAGGTAAAAACATACAGTGAAATTTGAAAAGTGAAACAAGCAATGAAAATGTTTGTAAAAAATAAAACGAAAGGATAATGTAATGTTTTGTGTTTGCAGGACTATCCACTATGTAACTAGTAAATTTTACACGGATTAACGAGCAAACACTTGGAAATTAATCTATCCGGCATGTATCTGAAAATGAACCAAGCTAATCGAACGAGATAAAAATATAAATGCAAATCTTCACGCTGCGCCGGGCAGCGTGTTTTATTTAATTAAGAGCATTACTGTTCGGTTGTATCTCGTATTGATGTTGAAATCTATCAAAAAGCGGTACAGACACGCGTAACACCTACACAGGCCGTGATATGCAATACCTAGCCGAGTATTTTCCTGTTTATTATTAAAATATTCCGCCTCGTTACGCGGCGGCTGATACCGAATCGCGGCGCATCCTGTGATTCCAGTATGCGATAGAAATTATATTCGTCGCTAATCGAATGAATTACACATTACTTTCGAGTGTTTCATTAATTACCGTAAATCGAGCGACGTAAAATAGTCTGAAGAGCACATCCCCGCGATTCAATGAAATTTTGTGCATCCCTTTACGCCATCTTTCTGCCACCGAGCACGTTAAAATCAATCTAGGCACCCGGTTCAACCATAAATCGCATATCGATTTTCGTAGCCGTAATTCGATCAAAGATCCCTGTTTACCCTCAGCGATATGCAGCGTTCATTCGATTAAAACGAGCGAGCCGTGTAAATCGCGAGCAACAACGTTCTAGATATATAAAGAAGAAATAAAGGCAGAAAAAAAAAAGGAGGAACCATGTAGAGTGGTAAAAATTTTGTCAGCATTACACACACTATGCACACCGGATGCATGCACGTGAAACAATTGTTTCGCACAGTGTCAAGGTAACGACGGTCCCGTTGCGTAGTTATAAACGTGAAAAAAGAAAAGATCGTGCGAGTACGGGGCAGCAGAAAACAAGAAAGAGAGGAATGGCTGGAGGTACAAAAGGAAAGAAAGAAAAAAAAAAAAAATGGGTCGCGAGTCAGTTTCGCTCAGGTATGATATCTGTCTGTCTCGCGCGCGCGATCATCGCTTCGCTCAAATTCGCCCCGTTGATTTTCACCAGTGGTAAATACATCCGTGAGAAGAGGTGTAGCTCGAGCATTACCGGGTGAACTTTCTGTTGACGGATCACGTGGCAGAATTCAGGCATCTCCGTTGGCACCGGCAGCCGGGCTGATTTATTGAGTGGCGTGGCGTTGCTGACCTCACTCTCGCTACGGCTAACGACACTAAGAGAGCTCTTGGTAATCTGCCGAACGCCAACGATATCTACTCAAATATATCGAAATTATATGCCGGTGCAACGAATTTGGATTATTCACTCACCGATTTTCCCTCTCTATCTCTACATTTCTCTGTTTAAATTTTTATTTCCCTTTCTAGGGGGGGCTTTTTCATTCATCTACAACTTCTGAATCAACCGATCATTGAAGAGTTGAACATTGCGATCCAGTGTGTGATTTGAAAACTGAACACAGAATTATATATGCACGATTACTTTAAATCGACTACATTAATTTATACTATGTCGACACGGTGAAATATCTTTGGAGCATGCAGAACAATGAATACTCCCGTGAACTTTAAACGATGAATTAAATCATACAAGTAAGTGATTCTTCGCTTCAATCAGCAAACAAACGTAAAGTTTCACTTGAAACTATTTTCAGCTCTAAATTATTTTTTCCATGGGTCATTAGCGTGTGCAACAGCGTGCAACAAGTAATACATTATAAATCGACGTTCACAGAGTTATATTAAGGCCACTGGTGATGTGTCAAGCATTATTTGTAAATCAATGATTCTTATAATAGCCGGTTATGAAGTCGATTTTGATCAAAAGTTTATTGGAGCACAGAAATGAGCTGTTATTTGTAAGTGGGGTCACATAGTTCACATATTAGAATACAATAAATTGCACGATATAGTGAATCAAACAGATATATAGATTTCCGTATCTCGAGTACAAGATACTGCTAAGATTACGTATCAAGGTAATCAACACATTCTGAATCGTTGTTCACACATGTATACACGTAATACTTATTGTTTTCAATTAACAGGCAGTTACTCGAAGAATCGTAACACTCTCTGTCGTTATAGAAAAAGAAAAGTTATGTGCGAAGTTTATTTTTAGACATGAATTCGTTACAATCGTTATAAATGAGATTATCACGGTGTACCATGCACCAGAAGGCCGGATATACACGTGTGTATTTATATGTATACATTGTGTGTAGAATTATGCTCTCATGTGAAAAGACTATCCTTACGTAACAAAGTCGGCGAGCTCGACGTGACACTGACCTCACTTTAAATCCATAAGTGGCCATTAATTATCAAGTGGCAACGATTTCAACGATTTCACCGATGGAGGGCGAGAGCACAGCTGAAGAAGGGTGAAACGAAGGAGGATGGGGAGGAGCCAATACACAGAGTGGTCTGCTAATCAGTCCGTTCGGATATCGCAATATGTGGGATACGCTCGGTTGATTCTGAACACGACGAGTTTACCCTAATGTAATTAATGTCCGTCGTACAATGTGACGTGTAACGACAAATTCGATCGACATCGTTATTCATAGAAAGAGAGAGAATGGAGAGGGAGAGGGAGAGAGAGAGAGAGAGAGAGAAAACAACAAAAGAAAGTAAGAGAAAGAAAGATTACACTCGTCGATTGTCTGCACGGCCGACAAAGTCAACGCGATGTGCAGCACGTTTTTAGTCGAATCAATTATAAATAAACGTCCTCCTTTTAAGAGCGTAGTGTATTTTCAGATTCCATTCATTCATTGTGCTTCCGTGTCTCGTGAACGAGATGAACAGCTCACTCCGACGATCTAGGTGAATTTACAACTAAATAATGTATCGGACACACGTAGAACGAATGCACCGTGTTCGTTTTGTAATGATCTAAAGCTAGCCGATCTTTAATTGCTGGCTCGTAGACAGAATGTGACCTGATTGTGTATGTTACAGCGACGACGACCTTTCGAGGCGCCACGGCTGATTATAGGCTGCTGAAAATAATTAATCGATCGGTTATTTTGATTGTATCATTCAGATATCCGGCGTCTGGGAAACTTCGATATGTTTTTTAAATATTGCAACAGAATTTATCAGGTATCAATTAATTAATATGTATTCTCTTTAACCTCTTGCGCTGGAATAAGGTGCCACCGCACGTCGAGAATTTTTTGTTCCAAAATTGTAACAGTTTCTCAGTTTTAAGTATATTTATTTAAGTAAAACAAAATAGGCAAAACAAATGATAAATTTATTACTTCGCAATAATTTCTGTCCAGTGATATTATATCGACGAGTTTCAAAAGAAAGCGACAAATTATTGCATACGGTTCGGTCATTCGTTATGGTTCGCAATTAGTTGCCAGCGCAAGTGGTTAAATGAGTAGCACTAAAATTGTATTCCAGAATTATACTACATATTTAGATTCCAGAATTAAATTACATATTTTATTTTCAGATCTATATCGTGGGACTTTTTTCTCTTTCATTTTAAAAAAGTATCTTCTATTTAAATATAAAAATATTTTTACCAAGCTTGTTTTAAGAACGTCACAAGATACAAATACCGTTTACCTCGTTCCAGTAGCAGCAAAAGATTAGTTAGAGCAATACGATCGAACACGAGGCGGATAAATGAGAATCGTGTAGGGTACACGGTTCATTTCAGAAGCGAGCCGTATCATCATCATCGCACACGGTCCAGCGGATCATTTTTCATTTACGCGCGTCGGATAATGTGTATCATTGAATATGTCACTAATTGCTTGACAGGAGGATAAACATTTTTTGCGAAGATAAATTAAACGGTCGTGGTGCACGACAAGATAATTAAGTATTACGGTATGGTGTTACGTATGTGATAATAATCTCGCCACATGTCGACACACTCTTCTTGACCCGACCCATCGGCTCCTTTCTCTCTGTCTCTCGTAGCCGAAGAATGTAAAGACACGATCAGGGGAAACGACGGCGACGGCCAGCTTTCCAGTCAAGAGAAGGAAGGAAGAAAACATGTCGGATAAGAAAGAATCTGTGGTAGGGACAATCACCCGAGAGAGGTCGAACCGATCCCTGTACGTTGCGAGACGACGAAAAAGTCCAAAAGGATTTCCCTGCGGTGCAACAAGGAATTTGAAAAAGAAAATCATCGGCGCACAGATTCTCGATTCAGGGAATTTTTCAAAACCTGGCAACGCGTATCCCACCGAACGTAATAATGATTTTATACGCTCAAATCAATCTGGAAGATGTCACGTAATACCAAAAGCTAGATTTTTACAATTGTTCAAGGCTTAGATTTTTTTACAATTGTTTAAAGAACAGAGAAGAAAAGCTAATGTCTGATTAATTCTAAAATCGAACACGAGACAGCATGTATAAATAAATTAGCATTTTATTATTGGAAATAAGCGAGCAGCGGGTTGGAAGAGTGTCATAAAAAATACGGGCAATCTGGCGAATATTCTGTTTCATCCCCGAGCCAAAGCGTTGGTAATAGAGCATTAAAAAGGGTCTGGGTTTTTATTCCCACGGCTTTTCATAATTAGTCGTCGTCGTCGTCGTCTGCCGGAATAGCGATGCATATCTCGCTCCCCACTAATTGTTTGACACCGAATCAACATCCTACCGTGGCGTTTACATTTCAAATCATCTTACTCGTCGCTCCCGGGAGCAGATAACAAGCTATCTAGTAATGCGAGCACCAAGCCTGATAATTCACTTATTACTAGGTAACGATTTCTCACGATTTAATTAAGGATTACGTTTTGCTAACAGAGTGAGAAAATTTTGGCTTTCAAATTGACTTTTCATTAGACAGGGAAAAGAAAAAAAATGATACACGTACAGATGCATATGGATACGTATATATGTACTATGTGGTATGTATATGTATATGTACAATGTATATGCATCGCGTTACAGGCGGACAAGATTGATAAACGAAGATCTGGCATTTCCTGCTAAGCGTTGCACGCAGCTTACAGCTGTTGTGCACTGTCCAGAAGCTCAGGTTGGATCGCAAACCCGTTCAGGAACAAGAGAGACCGGTTTAAGCGGTTTACATCGTGGCTACTTTCTCCGTGACAATAACAATGCACTTTGTACTTCGATAATGCAAGAAATGGACGAGTAAATAACAAGTATGTCTTTTCAAATATCTTCTCTTCTCGAGACACGTGATATTACCACGAGCTAAATTTACATACATGACCAAGTATGTAAGGCACGCGTTTTGTCATTTAAACTTAAAGAAGAACGTATCTTTTTATTGCCATTTAATTTCTAACACACAGAGAGGAAGAAACTTGTTCGATGTGTAATTACGTAATTATCCAATCAAATGAGGTGATATCATGCAGAATATAACTACATACGACATAATTATGTCATTTTCCTACAACTCATTCAAATGTGTCATTTTCAATAGTAGAGTTTATGGTGAAGCGATACAGGAAGAATTCTACGAGCAATTTCTCAGGCACATCCGACTGTAAACTAATAATAATAATGCGATCAGCTGGTAAGGGTTAATCGTATGCTAATTCTAATGCGTGCAATTATAATACTCGTATATAACGAGCAATTGATAATCGTATTTTCTACTTTGAAACGATAACAAATGGAAGAAATTTACATTCGACAAGTTCTTTTTATTTTTCATTAATATATGTCTTTTTCTGTTTCATCATTGCAACAATTTATGCCCATACCTCAAGTGTACGTTCAATCATCTTCGTTTCGTGATTCAAAAAACTGCAAATTACACGGGATGCATATTATTATGAAAGCGTAACTGATAAACGAACGAGGAAAAGCACTCAAACAAATCCTAAGTATATGTATTAGTGATTCATGTTTATCAGCTACAAATCACTAAATAACATTTTTGTTCCGGCTGTTACTTCTCAGGTAGAAAGGAAATTTACTCGCCAAAGGTTCAAGATATTTTAAGGCTCTTCCTTTGCATTGTGCGTCCCATACTTTTGTCCAGAAATGTCCCAAACAGGCCATTGCTGAGGTCTGTCTTTCAATTCCTGGGGTCCCTTTATGCGATTGATAATAGTTTCACTACAGTAAATAGTAAGCAATTCCAACGATAGTTCAGGACGAGCAAGCAAACAGAATGTTCTACCATTATTGTTTCTACAATTTATAAGCTACTTTCTACAATTTGCAAGCTGACATTTCCGGGTGAATAGTCTTTTTTATTTCTTAAAAAAAAAAAAAAAAATTAATAATAGAAGAATATCATATATTATGGTTCGAAACTTTGCTCTAAATTATTATTTTTCGGTGACTGTTTAATTGTAATGTTCCACGATCATTCTTCCACGCCATAAAAACGAGTAACATTAGTGACATTACGATTGTAAAGGTATCAAGTTCAATTTATCAGTGGTTTAATTTTTCATTGACTACACGATGATCTCTGGCAAATATTCCGTTGTTTATTCGCGAATTTTGCGATTACTTATCGGTAATGTATGTCGACCTTTTTTTCTGAACACGTTTCTGAAGATAATCGAATAATATGTGTTTAGGAAAACTCATAACGATTTTATCATAAAAGCAATTAAAGCTTATTTATTGATACGGAAGAGAAACACCGGAGAGAATTTTTTCGAATAATCTGCATGTTAAATGATATCGGTTCGTTCAGTATTGGAAAATGGTATTGTATACGGATTGTGATTTAGAAATACAGTCAAAACGCTATAGACTAAGTCGGTCAGTTGATATTGTTGCTTTTATCTATAAACGAAAATTATAGCTCGTTAACGAAGACGATCGTGTGAGACGAGTTGGTATCGCGGTATACGGCAAAAATAACGATTAGCGGTTGCGTCTGCGATAAATCATGATAAAAGGTACTTGTAACGGCGTGAAAGAGCTTTCGTTGCCTCGTAGACGCCAACGTAACACCGTCATACCACTCTAGCGTGCTTCTTTCTTTGGCTCGCGCTAACCAAAGATAATAAATTCGATTTATGCTCACTTCGATGTATCGCTGATAAGGTACTGCGTAATTAAAAGCGTTCTATTTCGAAATGATCTTGATCGGTGTACACCAGTTTTTCCACGGTCGAACCCGTTCTCAGATGGAGTTCATGCTTCAATAATTTCAATCATACCTTCTAGATTATGCGCACCGTTCAAAATAATCATCTAATTGAGCAAGACAAATTGTATTTTCGGTCAAGATTTTTTGATACTTTACACACCTGGGGTATTACGTTTGTCTCAGTTTTATTTTTATCACTTCTGAAAGTTAGTGTTCGTACTATATTATTTATAATTTTTGGACAGTTTCTCAGCATGAAAAGATCATTCAGATTAGAGTGATTATTATACCGATCAATAAAGACTGACAATTTGCCCTTTTCCAGTTAATTTGCATTATTGATTTGAAATTTTTAACACTGTATAAATTCCAATATTTATAACAACTAGACTTTTATATCATGAAATTTCGTTATGGTCTTTAATTTGTAAAGTGGGTCTTATTCCAATACATATCTTGTATTTTACTTTCAAAGAGTTAGTTAAATTCTGTTTTTCAACAATCTAAACTAGGATATTCAATTTCTTAGTATAACGTTAAGATTCTATATAGTATAGTATTACAAAATTAATTATATACAATATATATTTTGAAATTTCAAAGTTCCATACTAAAATAAATCTTATCCATTTATCCTATACGCAGCGATAAAATTTACAATTGAAAATCCATCTTTCTTTTAAAGGTAAATCTCAGTCTGCAGAGCGTTGATGACAATTGAGAGAATTGGCCCTTATGCCTTGAACTGCTCGCAAAGTAGCACACAAGATTCCAGAAACACATGTACTTCTCAAACCAAAGAGATGATCTAAAAAATTGGGCCAAATGTCAGATTACACATGAAAGTATGAAAAATTAACAAATTATAAAAAGCTTCACTTTTATGCCAGAATTTTATCGACGAGTATTTTCCAAAAACATTTGTAGTCCACATAAATATTTTGATGCTTGTAATCCTGTACCGTATACATATGTATGGTATCTCTTTTAGCATGAATGCTTGGTTTCACTCTCCTGCATCGATCGGAAACACGATCCTCTAATTATCTTGTGCGACACACAGTTGTTTAAACGAAAATTGCATCGAGGAAAGAGTTAGAAGTGTCTCACACAATGTTAGATGTTAAACCATAACATTGGGTTTCGTGTTACTTTCATCAAGGTCTATTATCCTTCTGATGCAAATTTATGTCCATATCAAGAAAGGAAGTACATAATATGACGTTATGACCCAAAAAAAAAAAGAAAAGAAATTCATCATCTTTAAAGCACAAACTATACTTTAAGAGCCTTGTTTTTTATTCAATGAGCAGGCACAAATTTTCATGTTTTCTGCTCCAAAATATTTTTTTATTTAAAATTAAAAAAAGAAACATGTATGTAGAATTTTGTCTCATAATGACAAAAGTCTTTACATTAATGATTAATATCAAATTTATATTGTTATATATCTATTATTTTTTGTTACGTATTATTTGTTGTTAATACATGTTGTTGCATATCTATTATTTTTTGTTCCAGCGGCGAAATAAGCAATATAGCGTAAAACGTTCATAAATTAATTCTGCCGAATCAACGTAGCAAAGTTAAACGCTCAACCCTTTAATTGCACGAGTTGGTAATTTGCTGTAATTGGTTTTTATTACTCTTTTCGAGCAATATTTTTTGACTCGTCGAACAATATTACCTGGGCTGCTAGATGAAGGGAAATAATGAAATTTTCAGAGAACTCTTCAGCTTTAATATTGCAAGAAAAATCTTGTCGCTATATATTTGAATATACATTTCCTACGTGTGTTTTTTCTTTTTCTTTTTCAGTCACGTTGTAGAACGTTTTTGTATAACCGTATAAGAAAAAGGTGATCTTTCAACTATGCAACACGTTCATACATACTGATATAGTGAAAAGAACAGTTGTTGGTCGAGCGAAGTACGGTGAATGGAAACTGAGCAAAAAGGTGCAAACGAACTACAAGTTGCTCTAGCAGCCGGCCTCTTAAATGTTGTTGGCGCATAAATAAAAATAATCTCGCAATTATTTTCAAAAATGAAAATGAAAGAAGGTAAAAGACAATTAACTTTACATTTCTAACATTAAATAGTAACAACTAAAATATACACAAGATGTATCAAAAAAGTTAAAATAAAAGATATATATATATATATATAAGAAATGTATAGACGGAAAAATAAGTTTTTACCAGCATTTTACAAATTATTACAAAAAAATTATGAAATAGCTATTTTAAGTACTAATAATTCTAGTAAGAATATGTAAATATTTAACGTCATTAATACTGTATATTGTGCAGTATACACGTACAAAACTTGCCACAGGCAAGACAGAAGGGAGAAAAAAAGAAAGAAATAAAAACGACACAACGCGCGATGGTTCGAGCAAGGTTTGTGTAAGCCTGCACGCGTGCACGCAAAAAACATGATGATCCGTCAGCGAACATTGCACAGTGAATTAGTGACACAGGTGAGACTAGAATGTACACCGACGTTTAATAATAAGTTATTCTAGAAATTAGAAAATTAACACAATCAAAATGATTTTCGTTATTAGTAAGGGAATTACTCGAATACTTGAAGTATTTAATAATTTAATTCATTCAGGACTGACATTTCATTTTTAATGTTTTTTGTTTACGTCTACAGTTTAATCTACAATTAAATTGATAATAAGTAGAAACTGATAAACCAAATATTTCTCCAAAATCAACAGAGTTCCTTTAGATTTTTGATTTGTGCCAATAAAATAATTATGTAGTAATTCTTGATTAAAAATTAAAGTCATATTCTTTACAATGTTTATATTGTGCTTATTTTTCGGTAGATTTATATAAGTAGAGGAGATACTATAATTTAACATATGATATAAGATGAGAATTAAGAATAACAAAACCGCGCTGGAAATTTTATTCTTCAAAAGAGATGTATTTCAAAATTATTTAAATATTCGCGAATCTGTCCAACGATTAAATTAACAATTAACAAAAAAGTACATGTACGATCAAATGTCAGGGTGTATTAACGTAAGAAATAAAAGTACTAAACTAAATTGAGACCAGAAGAATGAAAAATATGGGAATTTTATTTGGATAGCACTTGAATAATAATCCAGGCAAACAAATATCTAAAGGATCCAAATAGACTCTCGATATTTTTCGCTATTTATCCCGCAAGTAATTCGAATACTCAATAACTTGAACAATAACGCGATAAAGCAATAAAGCAGTCTCCAGTTGGTACACAAATAAGAAATAAATCAAAGTTTAAATATTATGAATACCAACGACAGACAGGTTTTAAAATCATACAACAGGAATTCGAGTATAAAGGAGGGTATATACAGAAAAGAAAGAAAGAAAGAAAGAAAGAAAGAAAGAAAGAAAGAAAGAAAAGGAAGGAAGGAAGGAAGGAAGGAAGAAAGAAAGAAAGAAAGAAAGAAAGAAAGAAAGAAAGAAAGAAAGAAAGAAAGAGAAATGTTGGACTCACCTCGAGTTCTTCGTAGGTGCGGAAGGCGAGTATGGCAAAACCGTCGATAATATCCTCTTCGAAGGGAGGCTCCTTCTGGTTGGCAGCCGCGAGAGAAGACTTCTTACGAGGCCTCGGGGGTCGCGGTGGCCTGGGCGGTCGCGAATGGCTGTCACGAGGATGACCGGTCCTGGCAAGTCCGAGGCCAAGACCGGCGGCGGGGTCCTCGTCCTCGCCGCTGTGGCTGTCCTCCTCGTCGTTCGGCCGTTGTCTCGTTTGTTGTTGCTGTTGTTGCTGTTGCTGCTTCGCACTTGCCAGGCTCTCCCTTTGCGCCAACATACGTTGTGCTCGTTCTCGTCTCCGATTCCTTTGGTTCCGTTGTTTCGCCTCGATCTCCATCTCGAGGCAGACGTCCTGTTCTCCCGTGCGAGAGGCCGTTGTCGTGCCCCCCGCTATACGAGAGTATCGGCACGTCCACCGAGACACCTCACGATCGAGGTACCCTCAGTAACGACGACCGCGACGAGGACGACTCGGCTTGCTCGATGACAAGTCCTCGATGGAGGAACAAGCCGTAAGAAAATTGCTGCCAATCCGTGAACAAGCAGTTAGATAAACAAGAGTTAGACAAGAACGACGACGACGGCGACGACGACGACGACGACGACGACGCGAACGACGATGACAACCGTTGTATTATCGTAGTATCGTCGAGCATTCTATCTACAATCGTCTTTAATGCTGTTTTACTGCGAGAGGGAGAGAGACGATCAGGAAAGGCGGCGAGAGTGTAAAATAAGGAAAGAACACGGGAATGGAAAACAGAGAAAACGAGAATAAATGAATAAGACAGATGGAGCGAGGCAGAGAGAGAACGAGGGTGAAGAATGAAGGGAGCGCGAATAAGAAAGACACACTGACTTTTTGAATACACACTCGCGAGAAGAGACGGGACAGCGGACCCCGTTTACCGACGGGACACACGTATCTACAACACTCTTTGCTTGGATCACCCCGTATATTTCTCTCCCGTATATTCCAGGAATATCAGTTCCACGGTTCGCGACAGTCCTGCGAGAATGAGAATTAACGAGAGAGAGAGGATTTTCGTTGGTAAAAGACGTTCGTACAGGCGGTCACACGGTGTCACATCGATCGCGCTGCCGAGGAAGAGAGTCCGATGTGCGTGGCGAGTAGGTACACGCGAAACACGCACGCACAGGGCGGACAACGACAACGACAGAGGCCGACAAAACACCAAGAAGAAAGAAACCAAGAGAAATCACTGGCCATTAAACTAGTGTGCACTATCATCGGTGAAACAACGCACTGTGTGAATGATTAAACAGAAATCACAGACATGCCCCGACAGCACTAACCAACCAAATGTATTTATTTAACATTCATGTTCCAATGTTCGAGTCGTTTCTTTTTCGCCATGATCATCGCACACCATCGTACACCATATCATCGTACATCATCCTTCTTTTCTTCCTCTTCCTCCACGTCGTCGTCGACGACGTCCACTAGGCACCAGTAACACCAGTAACACTGCCGGCTTTCACGAGCTTTCGTCTCCGGCTGTCGTGTACGACCAATGGGGATGATATATCCACGTCTCGACAATAATGTGGCACGTATTATCGTTTCTCGACAGTGTCCCCGCGAGTCGCCGTGGCTAGATGCACCCAGCGAGGGCACGAAGTACACCGATTGTTTGGAATGGCGGATCGAACAGGCACGCACGGTTGCCGCATCGTGTGGTAAAAATGGCCGCGACCTGCCCACACCGTGCTTTGCGGTCTTGCACCTCTCGGAACGTTGTCGTCACGGGACGGTGACGCGTATCCCGCACTGCCACTGCATGTACATCTTTGATACGTAGCTACGGACACGAGCTAGAGAAAACGGCCAACCTAGCACACGCCCCGAATTACGCGTGGACGACGCGATTCTATCCTATCCTCTGTGCGATACTGCTGCTGCCAGTTCTTGCTGCTGCTGCTGCTGCTTCAGCCACCACGGCTATACATTTCTGTCATTCGTCCGTCTCTCTTTCTCGCTTCCTCATGCTCTTCCACCTCGCTTCCTCCTCTATCGCCTTCTGCTACTTCTGTCTCTCTTTTACTGAAAACAGCTATTTCCCTCTGAATACAACGACCGAGAACATGGCGTACCTTGCTTCCAAGACGGGACATGCGAACAGAAATTACGTTCGATGTGTGTCTGTGCCTGGGGTCGTGCCTTTTACACCATTATATTCCCCTCTCTTTCGCTTCTTTGTTTCTAGATACTTTCGATTTGTCACTAGATCGTAAGCAAGCAGCACCACCTATACGGATTGAGGATAAACCTTTATTCGATAGTGCGCGCAAGTACCGTTCGTTGGCGACACATACCACGTGCTGTGTCCGTTAGCGGGTAAAAAAATCGATCCTAAAAGTTTTTTCACGTAAAACGCGGTGATTTACGCCTAATACGTTCGAGAATTAAAAAGTACAAGTAATCTTTATTCCCTTTTGGTGGTTAATGACATTGTCTTTTTAAAGTACGTAGGTTTTTAACAACAAAAACATTGAGATAGTTATCATCGATCTCCAAATATTTGATGCACTTGCTTTTCGCGTGATTTCTATACACGGATAATCAATAGCATACCAAAAAAAGGTAGTTTCAGTACATCGCAATATTACATTTAAAATCACTAAAATAAGTAATCTAATTTTTCTTATTCTCGTACTATTCTCGGTTGTGTGAAAATGTTCACTCCGCAATGGTAACATAATTCTATCTAACGAAAGAAATAGTGGAAAAAGTCACTGTTGGATCAACGTATTAAGCCGTACCTGTAAAGGCGCGCCTCTTTTGAACCAGTTTCGCGGAACCAATTACGCCCGCCGAGCAAACTCGTCGTATCTTGCTGCCGATTTCGTTCGGCCGGTTTTGGCGATGGCCACGTTTCCAAATCCATATAGGTAAGCTTGCCCAGACACACAGCTGACGTGGATCGCTTTTCTTGCTCGTCTACACGCACGAAAACGTACATGCGCCACGGCTGCGTACGACTCGTCCTCCCGGAAGAATAACTCGAGGTCAAGCAGATGAATTTTCATACTGTCATGATTCTGTTACAGATCTCCAGCCAACGATACATGTATGTTCTCCAACGTGTCGCGCAAAGTCAACGCATTATGTTTATATGGCGGACGTCTGATTAATTGGTTATATACGCTACTTGGCACGTTGCTGTTCCACGTTGTCGTCCTCGCAATTTCTGTTATTGACATTGGCATGATTACTCGATACGATTGTAATACCTGTAGACCACTGACGCGTACTTCTCTCCAAGGACAGTACAATCCGCGAACTGTATATAGAGAACGAGATTAGCACCAAGGAAAACCAGGATAATGAAATTACGCGTGAAGAGAGAAGGTACCCGAGAAACTTTAACGCGAGATCATTCGTTCGTTGTAAAGTTTCCTTTAGGAATAATAATGATTATCCCAAACGCCACGGCGGAATTTTAATTAACCATTGTCCACCTTGGTGTAAATTGAGCATAAATGAGGTTCTTTATCAATTAACTCTTCATCGTGGATAAATCTGTAATTATTTTTAATCGCTTTAAACTGGCTTTATTACATTGTTCTATCATTGGGCGATGAAATTGAATATGATATTTTAAAGCTGTATCTTAAATTTCTTTCTTTCCAGTTTGTTGCATCTTACGTAAGCGTAAAGTACAAAATTCTTTGAACACGACTAGTTTTGAGCTACGCAGTCGTGCCAATAGTACCTATTACGGTTTCACTGTTGAGTGTAAACAGAGCGCATCGATGCAATATTGAGTCATGGAATAATGATCGACAGCAACGTGAACGATCATTATAATAGCAGACATTGCGATTGCTCTGCGATGATGAAACTATTACTTGATTCTTCGAATGACAGTCGATTAATATTTCTAGAGTAGGTGAATGTTATCCTCTTTCTTCTCTGTTATTTCGTTAAGCAACCTTTTTTGGTAGCGGAGGCGCGACCACAGATATTAAGATACGATATTTGGATTATGTTCGCCGATGAATCATGAATTCACATGCACGCAGAATAAAGTATTCCCTTGGAACGTTGTATTTGCATATCAACCCCCAGTGCTAAGAATAGAGTTCTAAAAATATATTCGATGCTTCTGTCTTTCGATAATCCATGTAGGAATGTGAAATTTTACTTCCAATTTATTATCAATGTCAAATTTTAAATATTATGCATATGTCGGTGGCCAAAAAAAATTTGTTTAATACAGAGTTTCAGATTTAAATCATCAATAACATTTTGTTATATTTGAATTAGAAATATACTATTTAGTGCTGAAAGCTAGAGTCGTATATTAATGTCGTACATGGTAATTACTCCATTAATATTTATATTCCAAGTCAGTGATTGCAGAGCTGAACTTTGTTCAAATCTTAAACAGATGGAATCATTACATATTGTTTCGTTACACGATATTTTTATGAGTTTGATAATGATTAAATAAAATAATAAAAATAAAATAATAAAATCACATAGATTTTTTTATAAGTCTCACGAAGACTCACTTGTGATCTGCTGACCGATTTTGTTAAAACACGTTCTCATCTCTCGCCACAATATTCCTTAAAAGTATTGTCCCTGATTCCGAACTCCGTCTTTTTATTGACAAGGGAATCCTTTAGCCTCACTCCTATTCTGCTCAATTTTACTTAGATATCTATGTATAATTTTTACATGGAAAGTGTCGATCGACAGAATATATTAACAAGTTAAAAAAATGGATGTCATGTATTTCAACTTTACATTTCTCTTCCAATACTTCTCTCTCAATACTTGCTATCTTTTCCTATTTTTCTTTTTTTTTCAGGTAAGATCTCTAATAACATATCAATTTAGACAATTAAGTCTATAGAAGAGATTACTGGTCACCGATTGGATCCAGCTTGATCTCATCACTACCGATAGTTCGGGTGCGCTTCGTGCTGCTCCGGTGATCTTCGTCTCCCACTGGGAGCACCCCAGCGGTTGGCAGATCCGTCAGAAAGTGCTCGACGGACGGACAGTATTGTGAGCGCTGGCCACGGCAGCATGCGCGGGAATTTGGTTTGCCGCTTGTTCCTCGATTTTCCACGCTGTGACACTTTGCTTGTCACTTGACAATTTGTTTAACGACGAGTACAGCGGTTCCTCTTCTTGTTGTCACCTGTGCGTTTGTATTCGCAATCGAAACGACAAGACTATCGAAGAATTGTTGCACTTGATCTATCCACGGATTTAAGAGCAGCGGTCATTGGAATACTGATAGGAATCAGGTGAATGTAAACACGGCTCTTTCTTTTTTTCACCTGCCGACTCTCACTCTCTGCTGAACTCCAGACAAATCTTACTTCACGCTATTCTCTTTCATCGCTCACCATGATTTTAAAACGTGCGCACTTTCCTAGAGAAGGCTGGCCGCTCCGTCGAATCGCTTTTTCCTCCGAGGATGTTACGAGACTAGCATTGTCAGCCTCTTACGTAATTTGCCGTGCACGAGCACCGATGGGAATCTTCCCAGTATATAAGACACGTTTCTAGTCCACGCTTCTCTTTTTTTTTTCTTTTTTTCGTTTGATTATAGCAGATGGATTTTTTTACACACTTGCGTATTAATTTGCAATTAAATTATTAATTGATATGATTTATGAATATAATTTGTAAACAAGAAAGCAGAAAATGCAATTTATTTTTCTTCAGTTTCGGAGAAGAGCGGCCAAAGATTCTCTATTCTGGGATTCTAAATGACCTAAACTGTTCTTGCTTAGATCAAACCACTCTTTGCTTAGAGTTTCGAGTAGTACATTTTAATTTAAACACCATCTTCATTGTCGTTCTGTAAAAATAATTCTTTCTTTTAGAGGGAAATTGAATGAAGAGATACGTGTCACACGTAAAGTTGCCGCGCTTATTATTTTGCCTCAAAATGGCGACGTCCTTGTCGAGGTCACGTGTTCATCGCATTACACGCATACCGCCTACGAGTGTCCACCTGTTCTCCGATCGCTCTATTTATCTGTCACTTTTCGTTCTTCGGCCACGCATTTAAATCACCGGCGACATGTCGCGCGGTGATTTAAACGCCATCCACCGAACAATCGCATTCGTTGCTCGATTCACGATCGGTGCAATTTAAGACTCACATCTCCTTTACTACTTGTATTTACCACCCGTGTGATTTTCGACTTTTATCGGTGACACTGTTGATTTTCCATTTAGAAATTTAACAAAGACTTTCGAGAAACATTTATAATTCATGACACTTAATAATCATTGATTGTAAATCCTTTAAGGGGACAGGACAGTTTGATGGGCTTAAAAATTACGAATACTTTGGAGGGTTAGTAATTTTTCGAAATTGTTAAAAATTAAATTAAAAAATATTCGATCCCTAGTAAATGTTACACTAAAGATACGTACCAAGTTTTACAGTAATCGGTTGATTAGACTCGGAGATATCTTGCACACCGTTTCTAAAAACCTAGTTTCAAGAAAAACGCGTTTAAAGTTTCAGAACGTCATTTTTTATGTTTTCCTCTACTTACTTTTTTTACTTATATATCGCGACTCACAATTCTTACAATTCACAACTAAATTGAATCCAAGTCCCCTAATATTCGATTCACCAAAAGTAATATTTGAATCGCACGATTTACACTTTATAATACTGCTTGAAGTTGTAAACAGTGATACAAATACAATTTATTCTGTATCCGCGGATTTATTATTATATCCCCAAAATAAGTCGTTTTAAAGGCCAGGACCTTTTGTATCTTATTTCTAAGATTTCAAACTACTATTTAAAACAAACAAAAAAAATCGATTTTTTGAAAATTTCAAACTGTCCTGACCCCTTAAATTAATTTTTTTCTTTTTACTTTTGAAGGACGCAAGAGAGAAACGATATTGTACAGTATTGTATTGAAATAATGTCGATGGAATGTTTCACGATGGAAGCCGAGAAACTTCATCTCGTTCGCAGTGACAACGGAGCAGAAAAACGTCCTCCGCGATGGACAGTTTTCACTTGGTTTAGCCGCAGTGTGACACATACCTGACGTCACACGCATATCCAATGAGAAGAGACCGACACGGTCGTATATAGAATCGTCGTTGGTGCGTGATGTCAATGCGAATTGCACTTGTTTTTTTCGTTTCTATCTCTCGACTGACGTTGTCTCTTCATTTACAAGACTTCTCTAGGCTGCCTCTTTTCCTTCTCTCTCTCTCTCTCCCTTTAATCGTCGCTAGTCGGGACATCGGTGCGTACCGGTTCGAGGTAGCCGATTATTTTCTCTGGTAGCCGTCATTTGCTCTAAGACGGCACATTATAAGCCTAGATTCTAGGGGAGGAAAAATCGAGATACTTACGTACCTGTTCCAGCCAGGACAGGGAGAGCTCGTGCGTAATTCCAACCGCAAGGACGCAAGTGTTCAATGGCGTAGGCTAAAACTTTCCTTCGATCTTTCTTCATTAATTGCAATCCCACTTTCGGAACGAACGGTTTCGATATCCATTGTTAACGTTTGACCGATATATTCTCGATATACACGAAGAATTACACGAGCTACAATGATCCTCTAAATCGTAATCTTTCATTTTTAAAAATCATCCGTAACTTAACAAATTCTTTTATATATATATATCTCGAATAGATAGAAAAATTTTCTTAACGATTCTCATTTTATAATCGAGAGGTATTTATTTTTACGTTGCTTTGTCAATTCGTTCTTGGACCAAAGGGTTAAACAATATACGCCACTGTCGTCGGAAACTGGTCGTACGTGGCGCACGCGTGTCTTTAACCATCTCGATATCGTATCGCAGCCCATATCGAGGTGGTCGTGACCACAAACCCGCGTGCCACTGCGGCCTTCGACTTCCATGCAGAAAGAGCGTCCTGATGAATTATTATGCCCTGCTTATACACGTATACACGCTTGCTGGACATACGCGGCCACGATTACGCTAGAAGTGTCAAATAGCCTGCATCTTTGATGACATCGGTCGCATCTGTCACCTCTTGTATATCCTGATTGTTCCAACGATTCTCTGAATCGCCAAACTCCAGACCATTTTAGCTGTTTGATTATCTTCTATTTTCTCTTACGAATGGATAAACTCTACTCTTTCATACGAGACATCGAAAGGGAATATTGAAACGTATTGTTATACGTGTTCATAAAAATTCAAAAATTCACAATAAATTTCATATAACATTTTTTTTTTTTTCTTTTGGCCCCTAGAATAAGCTCTCGCAGTTTGGCGGGAAAAACCTGGAACACCATGTATATGATATATGGTTTGTGGAAGAAATATATATATATATATATATATATATATTTTAGGGCAGACTTTTATTGGAAGCAACCCCCGAAACCAACAATTTCACTTCCTGCCACGACAGCCTCCAACAGCGTCACAGGATTCACCCAGCAGGTATGATCGAATGATGGAGGTGATTTCAACACGCCGATACGAGGCTCGTCCACCGCCAGCGAGCCATCCGCCGATTCTCGTGAGTATATCTTCTCGTCTTTGTACTTTATAAATGTACGAATCATTTATTCCCGTGCTCTTCTACACATACAGTCGAAGAAACGAGTTTAACCATGCGACTTCTATTTTTTCCCTGTCTTTTCTTTTGCAGATCGACCCTGAGAATTCTGTAGCTTTGGTCAAAGAAGGTAATTTCTCGGACGTGATCGTCATGCATTGTTTGTTCGTGATGCGGACGTTCGAGTCGTGATTCAAATAACTAGATAACGAGATAAGAAGGTAGGCGTGTCGCGCGGAAACCGAGGTCTGGCAAATATTTAGCGTGTTAACGCATCAACGAAGGTTCCTCTTATTCTTGCTCGACGTCGCGAAACGGATCTGCAATGATCTGCAATCATCGACTTCTCTCTTTTTACCTCTCTAGTCGCCTATCTATTTGTTCTGTCAGAAAGATTGGTTTTGTCGCAATAACGCTAGCGTTACGCGGTGCACGTACGGTCCAAGTTGGGACAACACTCGCTTCCGCTTTCAGAGGAATGGGAAACTCGAAAGAAGAAGGAGATAACGACCACCAGGCAGATCGAGACGAGAGTGAAGCGACAGGTCGTGCTCGAGGATGGCGAGGTCGTGGTCGATTCAGGGCCCTTGGTCACCACGAATACTACCGAGGACATCGAGCAACAGGAACACACCACGCAAGAAGTAAGACCATCTCGAATGACTCAAGCTCGCGATAAAACCTTTCGGATTACTGCCATTTTACCGATGTTTCTTCTCAGAGACGAACAACCGGCGACCAACCGCAAGAAGTTGAATGGCCAACAGGTGGAAGACGGTCTGCCGATGGCGGTAGCATAGTTCAGAAGGAATTGAACGAGACGGTGGTGAGGAGTCGCGAGGAGATTGAGGAGAGACTGGAAACAGAAGATCGTCGACAACTGGGAGATATCTCGGACGAGGTATATCTACACCGCGACACACCCACACCTAAATTCCACCTGCGCGTGCCGTGATCGCCGGCGTGTGTACACGTTCTTTTTCTCTCCTTCTTGATCGCCGCGAAAAGGTCAGCCTCTCGCCTCACGCCAAGGTTCATCCCACGACGTATCCACGATGATTCTTCGTGGAACACAAATACGGTCCTCGTTTTTGACCAGCTTCCTTTCCCGGTATGAAAACATTTCGGATTTCGGATCGACCCGATACACACGCGGACTCTGTTTAATTTGGCCAAGGCCATCTTGCGAGACGTGACACGCTGTTCAACTCGGCTGAACGTTTCTATTTGTTCTACTAAATTTGCAAATGACGACTTCTTTCAAAGTGTGTCGTACTTTCTCCTAGAGAGAAATGCTGTTTAACGTCATAATTGATTTTACGAACGTGACAAGCAGAGAGGTGAAAAAAAGTATGCAGTATGATTAGATTAAGGACAGTTTGACGAGCCTAAAAATTAGATTTGTTGAAAATTTCAAACTGTCCTAACCCCTTAAGTGTGTCAACACAGAGTTTCTCAACACTAAACAAAACGTTTGTAGACTTATGTTTCACTTGGATATCCAGTGAAAAAGTTCTGCATGTAACGATTATCTAATTTACATTTGCATTTCGCATCTTTGTCAACTTTCGACTCGTATTTGCACACGACAATTCACATCAATGTCTGCGTCACTCCTTGCTAAAGAGCGAATTTCTCCGACGATCGACGAAACCATAAATTTGTAATTCTTCCGCTTGCCTGTCAAACGTCTTCAAAGGGTATCCGTGAACGCTTGTCAACGGATGATTAATGAGACCAGAGCGGAAAGAGACGAACACGGAAGGAAGCGGCTGTGCATCGAGAGAAGATATGCAACAGGTCTATCGTGTGCCCGATCATATTTGTCACGCTGCTCATCATAAATCCATCCTAGTCGAACAGACGGAATATTCTCACAAAATTTTGAGAGAATTGAGCCGAAAGCTGTTACAAAGTTTCTACAGAAATGGTACTCTGGTACCTGAAAATACGCCTGAAAATTGAAAGCATCGGTCGTGAGACGGAACTTCTTCATGGCACAGTAACATTTCGCGTAATCATCGTTGCACGAGCAAAACGAGATGGAATCTAGTTGGAACGAAAGTGGAAGATCCTCTCCGGAGTCGATCGAGCGTGCAACGAGGCTTGCTAGTTGCGATAGTGGAGGAAATATCTGGTTGGTGGGGGGCTGGCTTCTGGATTGCAAAAGCCAGGCAACAGGTATATACGCGTTCGCGCTTGAACGATTCAGAAACGAAGAGGTCGAATTGTTCTGGATGAAGACGAACGAAAGGAAAGAGAGGCAGAACGACGACGCGAAGTAGGGAGAGACACACACGGAGCGGAGAGAAGAGCTGAGAGAGAGCAAGAGAAAGGACGAAGGAAAGACAGGTCAGAAGAGCAACGAAGAGAGAGAAGACTCGTCGAGAAGTGGAAGTCGATGATCTCTCGAGTTTGCTCTCCCTTCACCGAATGGCGACGAACGAGCCGAGATGGAACGATCGCAGTCACAGCAGCTGTTCCGCGCTCGACTATCTTCGATGTTTCTATCTGGCCGCGGCCGACACACGTTTCACTCGTTACTCTCTTCGTTCTGATCCGTTTACCGAACGATTACTGGGATATTACGTGATCTTACAACGGTGATAACCTTGCCATTGTCATCTTCGTTTGACAGAGTGCCGGTACGACGGCCACCTCTGGATACACGATTCCTCGTGGATCCTTCGCCGGTATTTTATGAAACAGTGATAACAAAAACAATAACCAGTGTCTATAAAATGGATCGTTGTATTTCAAGCTACATCCACAGGTTATTTTTATATTATTTATAATATGAAATTTTTCAAGTGCATACAGTATAAAATTGATGTGTAAAAATTGCTTTCAGTCTTCTCTCGTTTGCTGCTTTTTCTTTAATTTACGTATCAAAGATAAAGAACGTCCTTGCGAGTCGTCCGGTGATCTACGTGTAAAGTGAACTCGTGTACTTTCGCGCAAAAAGAATAAACTCGACGATCTCTATTAATCTCGAAGGTCATTTAAGGTCGTGCATTTCAATTTCTTTTGAAACGATCGATAATATTCAGACTAAGAGAGATGTTTACACGAGTGTCGGATTTAAAAAACAACCTACCCTATCGTTAATTGATAGTGACCTTTAATAACCTCGACTAATGCAGGCTATTCTACTACCTTTCTTGAATCGATGACAGTCTTTAAATATCTTAAATGAAGTATCCTTCGATACAAACAAGTGTCGTTCGCTGCGTGATATCTGTGTTTAAAACATTTTATTTCTCGTTCTCATTCTCTATATCATTTATATTTAGTCATTCAGGCCATATGTAAATGTTGGAACGTCTCATGGATATTTAACACAAATCGAATGCTCTTCATTGCCTCTGTTTTCCAATTGTTTTATGACGAATAAGTTTGTAAATAATAAATAAATATCGCAATATGTAAGATATTAATTCCTTGCGCTGGCAACTGGTTCGCGGACCATAACGAGTGACCGAACCGTATACAATAATTTGTCGCTTTCTTCTTCTTTTGAACTCGTTGGTACGATATCACTAGATTAGAAATTATTAAGAAGTAACAGACTTATCATTTGTTTCGCCTGGGTTACATTTAAATATAATTAAAACTGAGATTATATTATAAATTAATTATATTATATCAAATATAATATAATTAAAACTGAGATTATATTATAAATTAATTATATTATATCAAATATAATATAATTAAAACTGAGATTATATTATAAATTAATTATATTATATGAAATATTATAAATTAATTATATTATATGAAATATTATAAATTAATTATATTATATGAAATATAATGTAATTAAAACTGAAATTAATTGTACTTGAAACTAAGAAAATGTTGCAATTTTGGGACAAAAAATTCTCGATGCGCGTCACTCCAGCGCAACATGTTAAATGTAATAACATTTCTTAATAAATGTAGCGAGTAGCCTAACGAGGATAAAATTTTACTTAGTTCAGGACGTCGTTTTACATTTGTTTGTCACGGATGTCGAGTGTCGTGACCTTCGTCGTTAGAAACACCTTTCTTTCCACTTGTTCGCAAAGGTTTCGCGTGCGAGAGCCAGACGATCCGGTTTATCGCGGGCGAGATTTCGGGACGCGAGGTGATTCCCGACAGATAATAACTGGCCGGGCCGTCCTAACTGGCTAAACGGTGACTCGTCTGGTTTCAGGCATACCAGAAGGCTGTAAGAAATAACCGGGGCGATCTGAGAGTGGCCCTCGCCGAATCTTCCAAGCAGTTGGCGTCTCAAACGGGTCCCAGGGTCGTCCAGCACACGACCAAGTCGAACAAGGTGATCGACACGGAGAAAACCTTGGAGAAAAAGGAGCTTAAACACGATGGTTTGATAGTTACCGAGAGGAAACGAACGGTCGAGCACGAGGAGGTTTGTCCCTTCAAATGTCAGAAACAATTGGTCAGAAATAAATGGCACATTTGGCAGTTCACATATTTAATTTGAAATGCCATCCAGAAATTGCTGAATTTTGTTTCACTTTATTCTCTTATACTTGTAACAGTAAAATATTTGCTGCTTCTCGATAGTTCCAGATCCTTCGATTTTTGAGAAGATTTTATCAATCTTCAATTATAGTAACCTGAGTGTTTCGATCTCAATTTCAGATTAAGGACGACGAGGTCCCTGACGACGGATGTGATGTAGATGGTGACGACGCGTCAGAAAAGAAGAAGGAAAGCTCGCATAGATTCGTGAAAAAGAGGGACGAGGACGTGGTCGATTATATCTCGGGTGGCGAGAGGATCGCCCGTGAAATGCGCTACGTCGCAGAGACCACCGAGGGAGAACGAATCGGAGATTGGACACCATCACCTACAGCCATGCGAACTACACGTTTCCATAAGCATTCTGGTACCCCTTTTTCTTTATTCTCAATCTTAGAAAAACTTTCGAAAAAAGCTACACTTCAAAATTCTGCGCGTTTCGTTACATGTATACAGAATATGTTATTATGTATTATGATTAAGATTGGACGATTATTACAGGTTTCCCTGCAGAGAGCTTCCCAGCTCGGAAGGACGTTCTAACAAAGAAACCACTGGACTTTGAAGAGGAAGATGAAGCGAGAAAGTTTGAAACGTCCAAGTGGTTGGAGAGCCATTTTGGTAGCGAGTCGCGTTCTTCTCATGGGTCCATCGATGCTGAAGATTCCCCTCTTCCAACTAGCGCGAACACGAGCTATATTAATATCACTATGAAATCTTGCAGTCCCAAAGAGCGGGATTATCAGACTGCTAGCTCCAATCGACATCAACGGCGCAGTACCGGTCGTGATTCAATATCACCCTCGGGATATTTTCACGGAATAAGCGAGTGGTCTGAGAGATACCAAGGGAGAGGTATCAAACTATATTTCACCCAAAAATAATCTTTGATAGATACTGAATTTGCAATATTTTATGCTATTTATAACATTATTAAATATTTCTATATTATCCAGAGAGACAGAATCAATTGAGAACAAGCTCGCCGCAATACGTGGAGACAGTTCGCACAAACGGTCATGCTCACGATCACTCGAAAAATCAAGTCGACTCGACGTACTCGAAAACTTACGAGTCGGTTCTTCGTCGTGAACATCAGGAATCGTTCGATCGAACGTGTACACCATCTCCGCCTGTTCGACGAAGATCGAAAGAACAAGTATACATTCTTATGATTCTTATCTATTATACGTGCCAGCTATGCTCTTGCACTGCACCGTATGGGTACACTGATTTTGATTTTAGTGGACAACGAGGTCTGAAGAGAAGGCCAATGTAAACGACTCGATACCAGGCCGAACTTCTAGCCCAGTTCACGTCGTGCAGAGAACCTGGGAGAGTCGCAATCGAAATGTCCAAGAGCAAACAGTCGAGCAAGACAATCGGAAAAAATCAACATCGAGATCGCGGTCGACGTCGCCGTTGCCAGAATCGAATTTCCGCAACAGTAAGAAGTCAATCGAGTTTGCCACATCAACTCCTGTTCGTACCGAAAAGAGTAAATACCAAAAATACTTGATATGAATATTTTGTTTTTAAAAAGACAATATTTCAGATAGGTATATACGCGTGTATGTTGTAAATGTTCAAGGTTCAGGACACTCGAAATACAAGATCGGAGAGTCGTTCAGGAAATTAGTTGGGAAACTGCGTTCCGCCAGCAGTGAAAGGAAGAACAAGCGGTCTAACAGCAGCTCGATTTCTCAACTGACACAGACCGACGACAGTGGACCAACCTACATGCAGTACAACGTGATCGACAAGAACATTCCTCTGGTGAACGAAAGGGACATGGAGGAGAAACCTCCCGAAAGACCACCAAGGAGCCACGCTGGGACAAATAACAATGCGAGCAAGATCTCCAAGATGGTTAAAACAAGTTCCCACGTGGCTCAAGAGCAATGGCAACGCAGCGAGTCGACGCCCCCGTTGCACAGGTATTACCTCGGCGAGGATCCCTTCGGAGGAAGCATTTACGGCCGCGAGAAAGGATACAGAGATGTAAGAAGATCTGGGAAGCCGCGCGGTAGAACCGTCGCTGAAACTGAATACAGGTAACTAAGCCAAGCAATAATAAAGAGCAACATTAAACTATGCTAATTGATGCGTATATGCGTTAGTTAATCGTTAAAAGTAAGAGCAGCGGTATCGTATTGCCTGACTACGAATGAAAGGCGTAATCGTATAAGCGTCGAAAGACATTCCAGTAAGCTGATACAGATTTACGTAATCGAACCTGCAAAACGGTGTGCTTCGTTGCTTGTTAAATTGTACATGTATATATATATAATAAGTGCACATTTCACGACGAAATGTTGCTCGCTTCGGATGGTGTGGGTGAAGGCTGCATGAAAGGGAGTTTGAAGCATGTCTCTATGCCGCTATGTAGTTTCGTATGGGCTCGCCAGCCATCACGAAGAACGATTCCTCCGCAGTCAATTGTCGAACCGACGCGTTTCAGCGTCTCGTCCAGTTCACTCGGCAGGTTTAGCAAGTCAACCGGTCGGCTAACCAACGATTACGAGCGAGAGGAACAGTTGAGGAGCACGCAAACTCTGCCGAGGAACCTGCACACCGGTGGACAATACGCACGGTCGCAGACCCTATCCAGACGCCAGCAACCGGTCCCTAGCGCGATCAAATTGGGAACGTCGCACGGCAACGTCCCATTATCGACGAACCAGCCGCGTCAGTACGGAAGTATGATCAATATTTCCATCAAGAATACGGTCATGTCGCCGAAGGTGGCGGCATTGCAAAGCAACGTTCAACCGCCGGTCAAGCCCGAACGAAGTTACAGATCCTCGTTGTCACGTAGCAAGAGCTTTAACGTCGAGGCTGACAGAAACGGCATCGACACACCACCTCCCAGGATACCGTATACATCCAACTTGCAACTGAACAGATTAAACGAAACACCTCCGTTGAAGAGTCCAGGCATTTTGGCCAGTATCAATCGTAGCAACAGGGATTTGTTGAAGAACAGCAGACACGAGTATTAATCAAGTCTTCATTAAGTCGTTCAGTTAGGCACTTTTTAATAGTTTTATAATAACTGTTTTTTTTTTTTTTTTTTTTTTTTTTTTTCTTTAAATACGGTTGAAGTGGAATCCATTACGGATTAGCGGGTATTAGTTATTACGTATAAGTAGTTTATGGTTTATGATTTTTTTTTTTTTTTTTTGTATAGTGCGAAGTGATATTGATATTGATATTATCCATATCGATCGTGAGAGGTGGGCTTGTTTTGTATAAATCAATGAAGTTTTGTTCCAATAGTTTCAGACAGGTTTTTATTACAACACAACTCACGCGAGACTTACTTAATCTTCTTTTCGCTCACATATTCAATTACAATCCAAGATTACATATCAGATTAGTAGAGGGGTATGAGATAGAGATAGCGATTCGTTATTAGGTATACGTGATTAAATGTTACATCCACGTTTTAAGATATAAAATTACAATTTATCCAGATTAATTGCATTTATTTCGACAGAAGGTGTGTATATATCAAGTAATACATATAAATTTCTTCGAAATAGTGTGAAAAGTGACGTAGATGTTAAGTAAATATTATATATTATCATTGATTAATCTATTCTTAGCAACTCTCCAACAAAAATTGGAAGATTTTTAGTAGTTTTAGTTTTGAAAATGTTCATATTTACTTCGATTTTTTCTTTTTATTTGTGCCATTTTTTCGACACAGTTTTCGATGCTTTTTAACAGCAAGTATTAAAAGAATAGCATTTACGACATAAAGACTAACACAGACTACGCAGATATTGCTTAATTTGTACAAAATGTATGCCAGGTAAATCGTGCCAAGGTTCGCACAAATTCCTAATGTTACGACAAGGGCTGATGTCATACGTCTATTCGATATACCTAAAAAATTTATTAAAATGTTGATAAAAAGAAAACACAATGTTTTATCCCCCTCTCTTCATACTCCCCAAAATAATAATTTTACTACAATAAACGAAAATTTATTGAGATACAGTAAATACAATACATACTCAGTATTGTGGCCAGAACATAAAATATTAATCCATATACAGGATTTGGTGCATATAAAAGAGACGTTTCTGGAATTATTCCAAAACCTTTTCCATATCTGTAATAAAGTTAATTGCTTGCTAAACCATATACTGTTAAAAATAGATAATTAATTCATTAAATTGATAATTCTTAATTTGAGCTAAATTATCTTACAAAATTGTATGCATTACGTATCGCAAAAGAATTCAAAAGTCGATACAAACGCATGCGCAAGAATCATCAAGGCTAATCTCTATGTAGAACACTGTTTAATAGATAATCACAAATGGAAAACAATTTTAAACGCATAATATATTTATAGTTATGCATAATATCAATTTCTAAAATGTCACAAATTTGAAATTAAATAACACGTATTCGATAAAATATTTTCCATTTAATTGTAATCTTAGAAAACAGTTGCATCAATCAGAATACGGAACGCGCTATGAACAAGTTTTCTAGATATTCTTCGTGCACAAAATTGCACAAGCTTTATAGCATCAAGAAAATTATATTATGCATGTTTTGAAACCAAACGATTTATACTTACTCGGAAGAAAATGCTTTGGTACAGCTAACGTGCTCGCTGATATCGCACATTGCTTCGTATAAATCATCTTCCTTTTTTGCTAATTCCACGTAGTACGCATAGTAAGAACCAGCAAAACCTACGATACACGTTGTGATAATTCCAGCGTTTAATTTTTGCAAGGATTTTTTAATTGCAGTCATGGTTCAATTATATGAATACAGAGTAAAGTTAAACGTTATTTAAATACACTATTTTTGGAGAAAATTAACTGATCGAATTGTTCACACTTGGGAATTTTCTAAGCACTACGAGAGTAGAAATTAATATTCAGTGTGCAAGGAAATAACAAATGCGACGATCGATAGCCAAGCGACTGTGAAACAAAATGTAATATGGAACATTTATTGGTCGTTGATTCCACTTTAGTAGTCTAAATACTGAATAAAACATGATTTTATCTTACTACGAAATTATCTTTATTAGATAAAAGAGATGAGTCATCCAAACGTATAGAGTTTATCATATTTATTTATATGAGATTATAGTGGATTTTTCAGAAAGTCAAATTATTTCTGGTTAAAACGAAATTCAGATTAATTGGAATATTTTATTTTTTAAGATTTGTACAATCCTTACAAGATTTTTAAATACATTTTTTTTCAGAGATACTGATAGTTTATAACCTGTAGAATAAACAGATATTTCTTACGTATATCGCTCTTTTCTTTATTATTTTACACTGTTCATCTCGTACATCACTTTTAAGACTTATTAATAAAATTGTCACTAAGTTAGCTAAAAACAAAATGCTTCCATTCATAATTTATAAACAAGTGGTAACAAAAAATTTAAAGTGACGCAAGATCTCAGTGTAGGACAGTATCGTTAACCTATGTCTTAATTAGTGCTGCTTATAGAGTATATGAGTACATGTATAGGAATTTTGTCACAAGAAAAAAAAATGCAGATAATTCTAAATTAACTACATTATACACTAGCTTATAAAAAAGATAAGAAATGTAGATGATTATTAGAAATATACTATAGATATATGATAACCTCTTTATGTAGTTGGAATATTTAAATTTAATGGGACCTATTATAGTATTTTATTCCTGTGGAGCCATTGCTCTGGCTTGAGCTCTTACACGTTTTTCATACTCCAAACGATTTTGACTGTGACAAAAAAGAAAGTATACTTCATGATAACTGTAATAACTTCAAGTTCCAATTATACAAAGCAAATATATTACCAATATATTGTATATGCTTCTGCCTGAGCTGGATCTTTAACGTTAGGTTCATTTAATAAATCTTGTATACCAAGGAGGATTTGTTTAATTGTAATAGCAGGCCTCCAATCTTTCTCTTCATCCAACAATGATAAACACACTGTTCCTGAAGGATAAACATTTGGATGAAACAAAGGAGGTTCAAATTTACATTTTGGTGGACTGGAGGGATAGTCATCCTTGAAGATCATACGCAATTTGTACAATCCGCCTTCCCATGGTGTCTATAAAATTGAATGAAATTAAATTTATCAAATACACTACTGTTTAAATAATATAATGGAAATCAACGTATAGCAAAGACCAGCACTACACATCACTACTCACAGATTTCTTGCCTGGTATTGCACACTCCCAATTCATCAAGTTGAGTGTTCCATCTTGATTTTTAACTGGTCGTGCTACAAATCCCTATGAAAAAAAGCATTTAAATTGTCTCGATGGGCCCTGTACGCAAGAACATTAACGTTTATCCATAGTGTGTATATATGTATATATATGCACTCTACGTCTTCAGGATAATGCACGCGTTTTTAGTGTGAAAGATTAAGAGTTTCCAATTGTTCAACTATTTTACCGAAAAGGATTTTCGATCTCAATAACGGTTGTTTATGTCGAAATTATGCTATAAAATATGACGCTTATTTATCAACGATTTCGCTGAAACGAATAATCCAATGTGTCAGATCATCCAAAAGTAATATACATATTAATAATCGCAGTTGTAGAAAACAATGTATCAAAAGGATATCTTACAAAAGGATGGTCTTTCCTCCATGCCTTTCGCTCTTCCGCAAGTCTAGCAATCGCGATGCCTGACATTAATCTGCAACAAGTTTACCTTATATTAGCGTAACGTATTTCGGCGCGAAATATAATCGAGACGTGATGCACAAATGCGAATTACAACGTTACCACGACGCTTATCGACAGCAGTCCACAACTTTGAATTCTGGGCACTTTCTGCGCCGAAATATCATCAAATACTTAACCGCACAAGGGTGAAAGCGATTCTATTAGGGTGCGTGTTCAGAAAACCTATGGATTTGCAACCGTCTTTAGTGTTGTATGGATCTCAATGTGAATTCTTTTTCGCAAAGACAACATCTGTTACGGGAACCTCGGTCGATAAAAGAGATCGCTTGTCCTGGACAAATTCTGCAGAGCTAAACCAATCAAAATACACGTGTACATTTGTCCAGCCCGATGATTGGCTAATTAATTTTAATTTTATGTGTTTTTTAATCATTATGTTAATCAGGAGTTTTTTTATTAATTCACAAATATTATACGATATTTCTTTTTGAAGTATTTCTTATATAAACTACGATATCGCAAAATAAAGAATCATATCGTCAAAATAGAACGTTATAAACTATTCAGATTATATCAATGTATGATTGTACTGTATTAATATTTGACTCATCGCATTAATAATGAAGGTAAAGACATTAAGTATATATTCTTTAAGAGAAAACATACGTCATTATCTTTAATATTCAACTTTGTGTATATATGTAATTAAAACAATATACCTTCATTTATTCCGTTGCTTTATGTTCTCCTGTTCTTTACATCAAGTTCTTTATATATCATAATGGAAAAAACGAAGCATGACATGCATAGACGTGTGTAAACTGAATTATATGAATATCAAAAAGATTATACTGCTGTTAAGATTCAGTTATAATTATTCTGATAAATGTTATAAGTAATCTCCTGGAATGAAATGTCTAACATATATCAAGCATGCACCGTGTGGATCACTCCTAGGATAGATGCCAGAACTAATTTATATTGTTGTCTTTATCGCACGCTGTTGCTCTCTTGGTCTACCGCGCGAATATGTCTGTCCTTGTTGCACACTATCCTTGTCTACGCCGCCATTATGACTGTCTGTCCCACGCTATCGCTCTCTTTGTCTACCGCGCGTATGTCTATCCTTGTCACATGCTGTTGCCCTCCTTGTCTATCGCGCCTCTATGTCTGTCCTTGTCGCACGTTAGTACCCTCCTTGTCTAATGACGCTCGACAATGATGTAGCGACCTATAGTTCCTCGAGTACGAGTTTCGAACACCAACTTGTACGAGCCGCAAGTGGCTGTGCGCCTAGCGTCGAAGTCAACCGATATTCGATGTTAAGCAAACAGAGTGCGGAACCGCCAGGATGGGTGACCGACCATCCAGCCTAGCGAATAGTTACAACAACAAGCGTCTGGGGTAAGGAGTCGCTGCCATCAGCCCCACTGATGAGTCTAGGCAGCGACTCTGAGACGAAACGCACAACCTTTCCTCACCTTACCCACATCATCACTTCCTACATTATCCTCGCATTATCATCGCCATTTCAAACCCTTCAGGACGGTCGGTCGGGCACCCACCTAGCGGTATTCTGCTTAACATAGAATATCGCTAGACTTCGACGCTAGGCGCACAGCCACTTGTGCTTGTACAAGTCGATGTTCGAAACTCGTACTCGAGGAACTCTAGGCCACTACAGTGAGTTTGTGAGAAGTTGGTTATTATTAACATAAGTGAGTGAGAGAGAGAGAGCGAGTGAGAAACGAGTAGTAGTGGAGGTAAGACTAAAAGAGGAATAGCTGGAGATAGGGATAATAGTAATAGTAACAGTGATAGTAATCGAGCGGAAGGAACAGAGAAATCTGATTTTTTATCCCCTTTTCCACCAACAGAGTTGACATTTTATGAAAAACAAAAAATATGGATTCGAAATTATCGATAGCTCGGTTAAGAGTGAAGCCATCGAGCATTATAATCGAATTGTTGATCGCCTGTTAAGTGAAGACGCCGAATCAAAAGATTTAATATTAGCTGTATTATCTAAGCAAGAGGAAGACAAGCGAGCCGCAGAAGACCTCTAAGAATACGGACCAGTTGCAACGTTGGAGTTAGTCCTATCAGTCGACCAGTAGCGCCAAATTATGAAATGGGCTTAATACAGAAATCTAAAGAAATTTTAGTCAAATGCAAAGTACAACTTCATGAGCAAAAATTGGAGTTATTAAGGGCTACATCATATAAAGATGACCATTGGCTACCAAACTGGAGCACGCACTCTGTGATTCCATGCCTTTTTGTTGCTTTTGCAAAAATTCACATTATTACGTGAATCACGAAACGAAAATCCACAAAGGAAAACGGAAAATCTTCCAACAGGACAAAGAACAATGCTGTGCTTCGCAATTATAACAGCAATGGGAAGAAACATGATGAAAATTCCCCAGAACCAAAAAGAGAAATTATTTTACAGAAAATTTGAACATCCAGCACAGGATTGCGACAAGTAGACATCATCAACTATAACTGAAACCAATCACTTTTACGCGAAGGAAACGATGAGTTTTTGCACACCGCGAAACTGCAGTTAGATGACAATGAAAATGATTGTACATTTGTTACTACGTACTACTAAATTCATGTAGACTAGTCAGCTTCACTAAACAATTAAAATGTTTGCCCAAACTACCTGGAAAGCTGGGATACTTGGAAAAAGCGATTTATATGCTATAAATGTAAGGATATAATATAAATAATGTTTATTTTATGAAAATTATGACAATAGGACAAAAAATAATTAAACAAGACAAATTACTTTAAAACAACACGAATTAACAACTCAAATGAATTCTTTTAACGACACAATTGACATTTTTTAACAGTTCTCTTTCAATGCTCTTTCACGACTCTCACAACTCTGGTCTTTTTTTAAAAAAAGAAAAGCGCTTTATGTTTCATATGATCAACAAACAGGCTATCTGTTATAAACATAACTAAAATTAGATTAATTTTAATAACTGACAACTGATAATAACCGATACTACATAAATAACAGTTAGTTCAAGATTTTACATTATATTAAGTTAGGTTAGAGGGATAGACGTAAATATTATTCTTCAAAATAGCGCATATAGAATGTGTATTTTCATATATTTATGTATATATATATATATATTTATTTATTTATATAGTTATTAAAAATAGCGTCTGCTTGTTATATCTGCTTGTTATATTAGACGAGGTAATACGGAAAAAACTAGTATTAGTATTAATATTAGCGATTTTATGAGATCTGCCAAATTTACATTTAGTATGCTAAAACGATCGTGGAATTATAAGCATAAAGTTCTGTTCGAGAAAATAAATTTGCCTATGACCTCCTGGTCACAAAATCTATTCATATCTTAGCATACTTGTTAGTGTGTCTTAGCGTATATGGTACAAGTATGGTGCAAGCGGTAAAATGCAAACGATGATTTAAGAGATTATTAATTGAAGATGTAGCGGCTGACGATTCCTCAAATACGGGATTCGAACACCGACTAGCACAAGCCGCAAGTGGCTGTGCGCCCAACATCGAAGTACTTACGATCTTTGACGTTCAGCAGAGTGCACCTACCCCTTGGATAGCCTAGCTATAACAAAAGTCTTAGAGTGAGAGAGCGCTGCTATCAGCCCCACTGATGAGTCTAGGTAGCGATCCTGAAACGAAACTCATTGCCTTCACCTGTTTCACCTTTCTCACCATACCCAAATCCATCCGTTCCTACGTTCCTACATAAAAATCTTAAATTCCTTAAATATCATTATCATTAACACTTTTAACCCTTCAGAAGAGTTCCTACAAATATGGGTATTTGTCGAAAAGCTTTCTTTTTCCTTTTATTGCATTTTTCGTGACTTAACTTTATATATCAACATCTCAGTAAATATTAACTTCTATATATCAATAAATTACCAACTTTTTTTAACACTTGCTTTGAGATTGGATGTATTTCAATTAGTACAACGATTTATGGTCTATTTATTATTACTAAGCTGATTGTACTACACTGCATTCTGCAGTTTGATTCCATACTAATTGACACAATGGTCAATGTGTAGTGTATAGGTAGTTTGCAGCTTATCGTATCTCATTGCAGCCTGATAGTAATTAATATCCTTGTATTTTCTACAGTTTCCTATAGTTTTAATAGTTTTAACACTGAAAATATTGACGGCTAATGTATAAAAATTAAATCAAAAGAATTAGAATGCAAGGAGTAAGGAAAAATTTATAATACGACAACGAATGCAAACTTTTATTCATACGTGTTACAAAAATTATTCAAATCTGTGAAAATGTAGCATTGTACAAAACTACTCTAAAAGATTATAAATTGATCATTTGGGTAGCTTTAATTTTAACATCATATCAACATTCAGACAGAGTTGGGCTAATCAACTAATTCCTGAACATTTCTGTAATTAATCTATATCTTATTATGATTTGTAATGTGTTATTCAAACGTGTTAATCATCTACGATTTTGTTATTCAATAAAATTAAATATTATTATTGGTAACTGTTTGCAGTTTGAATAGTGGGTCTAACAACAGATCAAAAGTATAAAGAATATCTACATTTATTCTTTGCTGCATAATGGTATCTATTTTGTTGAATTTACAATAATCGCTTTTAATAAATTGTTTACATTTCCTCAATTATATTTTAAGTTAAGATAGTGACACGGCACGATGTGTCAAGCAATATGATTTCGGTTCGCTTGTATAATACTTGAGACGGATAGCAACCATATGGTGAAGTATTATACGAGAGATTGTTACGACTCCGATAAAATACCGAAGATCGCTTGTATATTTTATGAGTAATTCGCTTGGATCGGACGTTGCACGAAATTCTAATCGACCATCTGACTAATTTCTGACGACTATTCACGTATTAGCGGCAGCACTAACACAGTAATAGAAGAAATAGCAATATACAGGATGTTTCGTAACTTGTAGGACCCACTTCGGGATCTGATTATACGCTTAAAAATAATGAAAAAAAGTCATATAAATATAAGTCCTATCTGTCTTCGTTTATGAGATATAATGAATTTTATAAACAGAGTAAACTCTAGTAAGCTGGTTTTACCAGGGATAGTATATTCAATTTTCATAGTAATCATAATTGGGATGAAGAAAACCCACATGTTATTGTGCATTCAAGACATCAACACCAGTTTAATTTAAACGTATGGGCAGGAATAATTGATAAATTTTTAATAAACTAA